TCCTGCACTTTGGCTTGGAGGAATTTTAGCCCATTTCTCTGTGCAGAACAACTTCAACTCTGAGATGTTGGTGGTTTCCTCACATTAGCTTCTTGCTTCAGGTCCTTCTACAATATTTTGATTGGACTAAGGTCAGAACTTTGACTTGGCCATTCCAAAACATGATCTTTATTCTTCTTGAACTATTTGGTAGAACCACTTGTTTGTTTATAGTCATTGTCTCGCTGCATGACCCACCTTCTCTTTAGATTCTCTTCATGGACAGATGTTCTGACATTTTCCTTTAGAATTCTCTGATGTAATTCAGAATTCATTGTTCCATCAATGATGGCGATCAGTCCTGGCTGATAATACCATGTTTCACAGATAGGATAAGGTTCTTGTACAGGATTGTAGAGTTTTCCTTTCTCCAAACATAACACTTTTCATTTAAACTAAAAAGTTCTATTTTGGTCTCATCCATCCACAAAATATTCTTCCAACAGCCTTCTGGCTGGTCCTCGTGATCTTTAGCAAACTTCAGATGAGCACCAATGTTCTTTTTGGAGAACAGTGGCTTTCTCCTTGCAACCCTGCCATGCACACCATTGTTGCTCAGTGTTCTCCTGATGGTGGACTCATGAACATTAACATCAGACAATGTGAGAGAGGCCTTCAGTTTCTTAGAAGTTACCCTGGGGCCCTTTGTGACCTCGCCGATTATTCCATGTCTTGCTCTTGGAGTGATCTTTGTTGGTTGACCAGTCCTGGGGAGGGTAACAATGGTCTTGAATTTTCTCTATTTGTACATAATCTGTCTGACTGTGGATTGGTGGAGTGCAAACTCTTTAGAGATGGTTTTGTGACCTTTTCCAGCCTGATGAGCATCAACAACTCTTTTTCTGAGGTCCTCAGAAATCTCCTTTGTTCGTGCCATGATCTACTTCCACAAATGTACACCGTTGTACGATGGACTTTGACACCATAATCAAGCAAATAAACTACATATATATCAGACATGACTGAATGATTTTTGTCAGCCATTTTTTAAAATGGCCACCATCTTGGATTTGTAGATGGACAGCTGGGTAGAATTATTCAGAAGACATTTGGGAACAACCATGCCAAAGTTGGTGCTTGTATCACATTTTGCACAATTCTGGTGCAAAACTGTTTTTCACTGCTCTGCGTGTGTGTGTTTTGCAACTGAACATGATTTCAAAAATATTCAGTGTTGACTGGTTTAGTTTTTAAATGACAACCCTTAGTTCAATACTCACCCCCATCTTCAGTCAGTCAAGTTGCACCTCGGGGAGTTTGCGTCCACGTCTTCAGTTCTCTTCAGTCTGATTCTGACAGATAACCCTTTTGGTTTAGGTCAGCGTACTCTGTTTGCAGTCTCTGATGTGTCACCCATTCATACACAGAGATTTTGCACCACAGACGGCTCAATCTGGTTCAGTGTAGGAGGTCAACCCAGAATTATCTCCTGAGTCAGAATCTTTGTTATTCTACTGAAATGAAGAGTTTCACTCTTGTGGTTGGAGTCTGAGACAGTTTCCACAGGTTTTCAGTGAGCTCTAAGGCTAGCCTAAGATGTAAACTTGTTGTTCTGTAATTCATTGAGAATTGAGGGAAACATGACTAAAGTCTGAAAAGTTCACAGAGCTCTAGTGACTTTCACTGCATATCTTTTTACATACCAATATTTACGCACACAGACAGTGTTCAGTTTTGTACATACAACTTGCATTTTTAAGATTACCCTTTTTTAAAATCATTTCCTGGCTAAATATTTTTTTTGTCCAACTTTCTTTACTTCTTTAATCCTCCGCTTAAGAACACAGACAGTCATTACCCCAACTTCCTTACAAGCACAATACCAGAACACACACCCTACCTCTCCAGGAATCTGAGTATCACTTTGAGCTTCAATCAACAAGCTAACAGCCAACATAAATGCTGTTTAACAAGCTTTGAATGTACAGTAAATGACAAAGAATGACGAGTGCCCTTTCTTTTCTTGTCCCTGTAAATCTTTTTGAGTCCCACAGACCCTTTTTATTCTTGGTAACACTCTGATAGCATATTCAATGACAAATGGAAAAGCAAATATCCTAATTTTGCTTAAAAAATACAACAACAACAAAAAAAAAAACAAAGTGCCAATATCATTTTTTAAAATCTTATTAAAATCATGAAGTACTGGTAAATCTCATTAGAATCTTTTGTAATGAGATTTTGTGCTCTGTAAAATAATGAGAAGAGTTGTGCAAAAAGGTTTTTACATGCCCACCTCCCAGGCACTTTAAATGCAATGCGATTTTGAAATTGGTTTGAGTTTAAGATAAGGTTTGGAACACCAAAGTTCATGCGCAATAATCCAGGTTTAAAAAAACAAAGTTAAGTCAGGTCCTATGGATTGTTTCTTTGTGTTGAAACGTTTTGTCTTTCATGCAAAAGAGCTCTGTGATCACAATTGTTATATAAATAAAATAAATGAAATTTATCATACATCAGTCCAAGGAGCCACAACAAACTCAGTCCCATAAGTAGCACACTCACATAGTGGGTCAATCACTTTGATGATGCTAAGATAGTTTGAGGTTGGTAAACCATCAAACTGGTTGGCCCACTATGTGCTACTTATGGGACTGAGTTTGTTGTTGCTCCTCGGACTGATGATTCTTTTGGATGAAAGACCAAATGTTTCAGCAAAAAATGAACCGTCCAGAAGACCTGACTTAACTTTGTTGGATTAGGTTTGGAAATTTTTACTCTGGCATAAGCCCTACTCACACGGGATTAGTTTTACCTAGGGACCACATGCTATTTGTAATAAAGATGGAGTTTGTCTGTGTTGTTAATCCCGTGCGAATCAACCATGTCAGTCATTTGTAAAGTAAAAATTCCCTCGCAAATTACCTACTATATTTTGCTGAACTCTGAGGTCCAGTGATAACACTAATCCAATGCGAATAGGAATCTCTGTGATTTGGACAGAAATGGGCCAGATCCGATACGTAATGAGGTGGTTTTTTTTTGTTTTCGTGTAAGCAAAATCATTTGGAAAAATATAGAACAACTCTATTTTAAATGAACTCACTGCTCTTCGGCTTTTTTTTTTTTTTTTTACATTTTTTTTAAATGTATTTTTCTTTTTTGCTTCGGCTTTTATGCTGCTACTTCCTTCACCGCAGATGACAGGAGGTGCGGAGACGTGTGCGTGATCGACCCATGCATCCATCCATTATCTTTACCTGCTTCTTCCTTTTTGTGTAGTGGGAGTTGCTGGTGCCCATGTCCAGCCATCACTGTGCGAGAGGTAGGGGACACCCTGGACAGGTCGCAAGTCCATTTCAACCGGTGGGTCAGCGGACGCTCACGCGCACAGCCAGTGACGGCTGTCCATCTGAGCTTAACGTGGCTTTTTTTTTACCTCTTAAACCGGCCGGTCGGACCTTCTTCCTCCTCAACAAGTAGATTAATACAATTTTATATCTACCTGGATTATTGAGCATGCATTAGGGCAATTTTATATTGTGCATTCTTTAGTTTTCTTTAGTGCTGATTCGTAAAACCACATCAGTGCCTGAGACCAGTCTGGTCTGCACATTAAGCACATTATATGGACCGGCCCGGTTGTGACAACGCAGCACGTTAACATAATCTCCGGAAGATGTCTGTAAATTTAAGCTAAATCTCAGGCTTTGGTTATCTCGTGTGAATGCGCCACATAAAAGGCAGACGTTGGGGAGTAATTTATTGATTACACGTGGTCCTTAGGTAAAACTAATCCCGTGCGAATTGGGCTATAGAAGTGTCACTGACTTTTCTGTTTAGTAGCATTGACATATATTTTATTTACCAAGAGTATCTAATCATGAATGAATGTACCGGTAGTCTGTCATTGTTCACAGCCTCACCTAGTGAATGACTGGTTTGTGCAATATTTGTTCTACAAGGAAACAACAAATGTGGAGTGGTTGGTTGTGTTGCAACCTGAGGTGCCATTAAAATACATTTGCAGTGTTGATCATTCATTACAAACGTCATCATTTTAAACCTTTACAAATATTTAGTGTTATGTATCGTTTATTGTTTTACTTTAGTGCCTGATACAAAATTCACTTTTTACCTCTAAAATGTCCGAGCTAAAACCCTCTCAAATGGCTCATCCTTTATAGTGAACTCGATTCAAGTTAATAATTGGTCTGCTGAGCGTTTAGAGGCAGTTTCCACCTCATAGCTCAGTATGGTTGGGTTGCATTCAGCTGGGCTCAGGCTGCTTGTGTTGGGTGACGTCAACTTCCAAGTATGCGGTCCTTCGTGGCTGAGCCAGATGAGATTGTGTGGCTCCATTCATCTGAAGGTGCCGTCTGCTCTCTCCTTGGCTGCCATAACTCTACTTCATTTGAGATAAAGATCCAGGGGAATGACACTTACAGTAGTTTTGTCTGCCAGCTGTAGATTTGTGTGTGTGTGTGTGTGTGTATGTTCAGAATACACTTTAATTTATGATTATGGGGTCTTTTGCTCTGTATAAAGGGTTAAATGAAAATAGTTTGAACCAAATTTCTTCAGATTGCCTGAAGTACTTTGGTTTTGGTGATGAAGCTCAGCTAAACCAGCATCCTACAGTTTTATAATTTACTTTTACTCTGCTAATAATGTGAAGCTTTCTGCATTCTGCACGTAATAAATGTTAATAATTTAAATGGTTCATTGGTTTGGGTGGTTTGTATTCATCTGAGTGCATCTTTCTTTGTACAAATGTCTCTTGTTTCTTTTGCTTGTGCTGGATTATTCTTTAAGCTCATCCTCACTGCAGGCTCTGAATATTTAACTCGCTACATATACAGCTGATGGGTATTCCATCTGCAGATTGAATGGAGGGTATTTGATGTTGACGTGCATAGGAATGTGAATTTAGTCTTCCTGTCTCTGACTAATGTCTTTGCCATGTGTTTTTCTGCTCACATCCCTCAGGCTTGTAATACCTTTTTTGTCTTTCGTCTCAGAATGAAGAGAAGCGTAACCTCAGTTTGGGTGGCCATGTTGGATTTGACAGCCTTCCTGACCAGCTGGTCAGTAAATCGGTCACACAGGGTTTTTGCTTCAACATTCTGTGTGTAGGTGAGTCACAAATGGTCAGTGCAGTGAGAATATATGTCATACCTTGTAACTTACAAGAATTGAAGAATACCATAACTGTTTTACTTTTGCTCTCATTCCTTTTTGCCATTCACAGGAGAGACTGGTATTGGTAAATCAACATTAATGAACACACTCTTTAACACCACATTTGAGACCGAAGAGGCGAGCCATTACCAGAACGGCGTGTATCTGCGACCGCGAACGTACGATCTGCAAGAAAGCAACGTCCATCTGAAGCTAACAATTGTGGACACTGTTGGCTTTGGTGACCAGATAAACAAAGAGGACAGGTGAGTTTGGTGAAATGATTTCAGTGATAACAGGTGCATCTAAAAACAAATTAGTATATCGTGAAAAAGTTCTTTTTTTTTTGTCATTAATTTCAGACAGTGAAACTCATACATTACATAGTTTCATTACACATAGAGTGAAATATTTCAAGACTTTATTTTTAGTAATTTTTATATGGCGTACAAATAATTTTGCCAAGAGAATGGAAATGGCTGTAGTCAACACTTATTTCTAAAAGAGGGAGGAACATAGAGTGGCCTATAAAAGCAGAGGCAAGTAGATTACATTCTGTATAGAAGAGGAAACCTGAGGGAGATTGGGAAGTGTAAGGTTGCGGCAGGGAAGAGCGTGGCCAGACAGCATCGGGTGGTTGTGTGTAGAATAACTGTTGTTGTGAAGAAGTGTAAAATCAGAGAAGACCACATAGTGGAAGCTGAGGAAGCAAGAATGTTGTGAAGAGTTCACAAAGAACTTCATTGTGTCTTTGTGGATTTAGAAAAAGCATATGACAGGGTGCCGAGGGAGGAGGTGTGGTATTGCATGAGGAAATCTGGAGTGGCAGCGAAGTATGTTAGACTGGTACAGGACATGTGTGAGGACAGCAGGACAGTGGTGAAATGTGCTGCAGGAGTGACAGATAGCTTCAAGGTGGAGGTGGGAGTGCATCAAGAATCAACTCTGAGCCCCTTCTTGTTTGCTTTCTTGATGGACTGACTAACAGATTAGGTCAGGCAGGAATCCTCATGGCCTTTGATGTTTGCAGATGACATTGTGATCTGTGGTGAGAACTGGTAATAGGTGGAAGAGAACTTGGAGAGGTGGAGGTATGCACTTGAAAGAAGAGGAATGAAACTCAGCCGTAGTAAGACAGAGTACATGTGTGTGAATGAGAGGGAGGGCGGTGGAACAGTGAGGCTACAAGGAGCAGAGGTCACAAAGGTGCAGGACTTCAAGTACTTGGGGTCCACTGTCCAGGAAAATGGGGAATGTGGTAAAGAGGTGAAGAAGAGAGTTGAGGCAGGATGGAATAGATGGAGAAAAGTTTCAGGAGTGATTTGCAATAAAAGGGTGGAACTAAAGGTCAAAGGAAAAGTTTTCAAGACAGTGGTGAGACCAGCTATGTGGTATGGTCTGGAGACAGTGGTGTTGACAAAAAGACAGGAGAAAGAACTGGAAGTGACAGAAATGAAGATGTTGAGGTTCTCCTTAGGAGTGACAAGGATGGATAAGATTAGGAATAAGATCATCAGAGGTACAGCATAGGTTGAACCATCTGGGATATAATGTTAGAGACCAGACTGAAATGGTTTGGACATGTTCAGAGGAGGGTCAGTGGGTATATTGGTAGAAGGATGTTAGAAATTCAGCTGCCAGGAAAAAGACAAAGAGGAGTTGTATGGATGCAGTTAGAGAGGACATGGAGGTAGTTGGAATGAGGAAACGGGTATCACTTGTAAATGAGTCCTTGAGGCTCATTGTGATTTATCTGTATAAATAAAGGTTGGAAATAAAAAAGGACAGAGGATGCAGTAAAATGACTTTTAGTCAGGGATTGGTAACTAAAACTTTGTGGCAATATTATATAAAGGTTTGTTTAACAGTCACATTTTTGGAAAAGTGGTGAAATTATTTGTTTTTTCAAGTCTTACTTAATGTGCAAACATTAAGTTGTGTAAAACCCAGTCGTGTAATTGTCCAGTCAATCTTCAGCCAGCCAGTATTTTCTTTTTACATTGCTCAGATGTGCCCATGGATAGAGATCGAAATAGCAGACTATCACTGCAGAATACTGTACATTTTTCTTGTCTCTGTAGGATTTAAATGGGAGGAGGTGGGAGAAAACTGAAGAGGAAGTTGTTTATTTTTTTTTTAAACATTCAGCTGTGGAATGAAGCGTACTTTCTGTGGCTCAGCCAGCAAGCTGCACTCTCACGCTCTTTGATAGCAGCTTTTTCTGTAGGCCATCTAACCCAGCATGCTGAAGGACAGACCCTGCAGCGGGCTGTAAAAGCACACCAAGAGAGCTTCAAAAGGTCAGCGTCTGTGCATTCCACAGAGAAGATTGAAGATAGATGTGAGGTAGAGGACAGATGACTGTAAACATAGTGCTGGCTGAGAAAACAGAATAGATTTCTGACCCATGTCACACTCTTAGCAGTAAATTGTCACTGACGTGGGACATTCTGGAGTAGAAGCACAAGGAAGTCTAATTTTCAGTTAATGGACAGATATGCAGAAATTCATGTGCTTTATGGTGAAGGTTTCATCATCATTCAACATCATTTGAGTAAGAAATTGACTTAAAGTTTATTAAGTTGAAGGCGTTTGCGCTGTGCCTAAATATCCACATTGTCCTAATAGCTTAATGAGGGTGATTTTAATTGTTTGTGCCTTTTAAAGCTGAGCGGTTGTGTGAAGTGTTTTGAGCTTTTCTTCAGAGCTACAACATTGTTGGGTAGCATTTTATAAAAATAGTAAAGCATAATTTCTAGCAAGGAGTAATGTCTGTCAGAATTAGGCAAATCATTGCATCCGTCAAATTTAGAAGATAAATAAAAACAAACAAGAAAAATTGCATTTCCTGCGAAAATGCAGTGTGAATGTTTATTGCATAAGAACTTGCTAAAACAGCTGAAATAAGCTAAAACCTGCTGAAATGTAGCTGAAATGAAAGAACAAGCCTAAATTAGCAGAAGAAAGCAGAAAGAACACAAATTTGCTGGATTATGTTTAAATAAGCAGAAATAAGCTAAAAAAAATCTGAAATTGACAAAAACAACAAAAAACTGAAAAGAAGCTGAAAAGGCAGACAGAAGAAGTAAACTGAGAGAGCACATTTTTGCTGAATTAGGCTGAAAAAAGTTTAAATGAGAGCAAAAAATGGGAAATTAGCTAAAAAACCTCAAATTTGCATATAAGACCTAAATAGTAACTGAGATAACTGAAACTAGCAGAATTAGGCTGACAGGAATGTAACAAGCTGAAATTAGCAGAAAGTAGTTAATTAAGCTGAGAGTAGCAAAAATTACCAGGGCAAACTTGAATTTATCTGAAAACAGGCTAAAAAGCTAGCTAAAATAGTAGAACAAGCTTAAATGTGAAGAAGAAAGTAGAAAGAACATGTTTGCCTAATTAGGCTGAAAGAAGCAGAAATGAGCACAAAAAGTAGAAATTAACGGTATCTGAAAAAAGCTGAAATTTATAAAATCAGCTGAAAAGTAGCTAAAAAAGCAGAAAGTAGCTTAAATTACCAGAAGGAAGTGGAGAGCGCACATTTTTGCAGAATTAGGCTGAAAAAAGTTAAAATGAGTGCAAAAAATGTGGAATTTGCTGAAAATGCTAAAATTGGCATAAAACAGCTAAATAGTAGCTGAAATAGCAGAAAAAGCTGAAACTTGCAGAAATCAGCTGAAAGGAGCATATCAAGCTGAAATTAGCAGCAAGAAGCTAGAAGCACAAAAATGTTGTCGGTAGCAGAAAGAACCTAAAAGGAGCACAAAACAGCTGAAATTAGCAGAAAAAGTTTAAATTTGCACAAGGAAGCTGAAAGAAGCTGAACCAGAACAAAATATGAAAGGAGCAGTAAAAGGTTGTAAACAGATCTAAAGATTTGAAGGATGTAAAATAAGCTCAGTTCATTTTCTATGAGGAAACAAATAGCAGAAAAGGCAAAATATTTCAAAAAGCTAAAGGTGCACCAATACCAAAAGTCATAGCAGAATTGTCCTGAAAGAGCTGAATGTTTTGATATATGATTTGTTGAATTAGCTTGAAAACTGCTGGATGAAAATCGTGTTGAAAAACGTATGGAAGAAAAATGAATCACAATAGTGTGAATGCTTCATAAACATTCACTCAGTTAGTGCAGCAATGTGGATTAATCCCTTATTGTTGAATTTAAGACTGCATTCAGAAAACTGAAGTCAGCATCATTGTATAAAGTTTTAATATTCCTTGCTTGGGTTGGTTTAATTGGTCTCCTTTGTCTATGAACGTGATATAACACAAAAAACATTTGTCTGTTTGTACATAATTTTGCAAAATAAGCATTATAAAAATGTTGTGTTCATTATTTTAATTCCTGTGAGGATGGAGTGTTTTGTAGTGGTCGTGAGTAGTTTCAGACGGTGATGAGATGAACACAGATTTCACGCAGAACTAATCTGTACGACTCTTAAGCTGAGATCTTGGCGTCGAATCAGAACACACAGTAACTGAAATCATAACGGCCTCACTTTATTTCCCAGGCGACAAGTCCAGGTTTCCTTTAGTATTTATTACAGATGCAGGAATGAGAAGAAAAATATTTTCCTTTGACACGTCTTGTAAATCCTGTTTCCCTCTGGCACTTTCTCCACAGTTACAAGCCCATCGTGGACTACATCGACACTCAGTTTGAAAACTATCTCCAGGAAGAGCTGAAGATCAAACGTTCGCTGTTTAACTATCACGACACCAGGATCCACATCTGCCTTTATTTCATTGCCCCGACTGGACACTCTCTCAAGTCCCTGGACCTTGTTACTATGAAAAAACTGGACAGCAAGGTACGCACAAGTTACACACTCGTTGTTGAGTGATTAATATGAGTTGATGAAATTCAGCCTCTCATTTTTTGTTAAGAGACTGAATTTTCCTAAAGCCCTTACTTCAGTATGTTTTTTTTTTTTGTTCAAAAATGAAGCAAAAATTATTATGATTCATATTAACTGTCATTTTTCCCTGTAGAAGTTCAAGAATAATTATTTTTGAGGCAATTTATTAGGCTGTTTTTGTGCAAAATGGTTCTTAGACTTTGAAAGACTCGTTCTGCAGGAAAAAAAATTAATTTGATGTATAATAGATGTAAACACGAAACTTTTTTTATTCATGTGCAAACAGTAGTATAAAACTAGTCATTTTATCTCCAAAATTGTCTCTGCATCACATCCACCTAATAATTCTTTAGTTCCAGTTAACATGTTTGCAGGTCAGCACACGGCTGCATCAGTCAATAGTCTCTCTCTCAGGAGCTCATTGATTGTGGTGTTTTTATTGCTCGCCTGTGAGTGTTACTACACATATTATTGATTGGTGGATCATTTCCAATATTTCTACTCGGTGTGTCTCACTAGACATGCAATTACAAGTGTTGCTTCAGTTAGGCAACTTAAAAAAAAACCACATTAACTGGACTATTAAGAAAGAAAGTGGCTGGAATTAGGGCAATAAATTCAGGTTATCCATTTAAAGTTGTAATTCTAATTGCAGCATAAACCTTTATGTACCGTATTTTTTGGACTATAAGGTGCACTTAAAATCCTAGAATTTTTTCAAAAATCACCAGTGAGCCTTATAATCCAGTGCATCTTATGTATTAATTCTGGTTGTGCTTACTGACCCTACTGTGTGGTACACGGCGCTCCAAAATTGGTCAAAATGAACTAATTTCGCTTAATGCGCCTTATAATCCGGTGCGCCTTACATTCTGAAAAGTACGGTAGGTGTTTCATATCATAAGGCAGACATCACAAGTATAAAATGTTATGTTCACAAAGCTCAGAAATGTCCAAAAAATGTTTGAGCTTGTTCCAAAACGTCCCAAAAACAAGAGCTGCTTTGAAGGCAACTAACACACATAACTTTTTAAACATCAGCTTGTGATTCAGTAATTGAATTTTGTTACACAGTTAGACTGAACCACTGTCCTGTTCCCAGACATTTTATTTAACGCCTCTGCAGAGGTCCATTGTTATGACTGCTGGTGTGACAGAGGCTGCCTTTGGGCTGTTTGGTTCTGTTGATACAATGATAATAAAACTAGAACAAAACAGATTGCTACGTGCGTCTAGAACCTGCAGCCTTATCTGCCAACTATCAGCACAGGACCGCGCATGTCTGCCAAATGCTTTCTGCTTCTAATAATAGTGGCTTCTTATCCAAGCCAAATTTCACTTTCAAGGAACAAATTTAGTATTGTGAGGATGTAAGGAAGTCTGTGCATAAAACATACAGTAGTTCTCCCTTAAAAAGATTTGTTTGCAAATGGCTCTAAAGGAGAAACAAAATGCTGTTCTGTGCTGAGAGGAAAGATTTTGAAACTAAAAACGACAAACCAAATTTGGGACATATTGTAAGTCCGAGTCCAGATTGTCATTGCTGTCTTCAGCAGCCAATAAAACGATCAAAACCTGACACAATATGTTTGCCAGCTCTCTTGGCATGGTCCAAACAACCACAGCACACTCAGCCAAAACTAAGCCCTTCTCATGATCTGAGATAAGGCAATGCACCTGAGCTAAAGTGTGTATTTTTTTTATATATAGGCAGTAAAACACTTAATGTAACATGTTTTGTCTAATCTAGTAAATTTTTTATTTTTTTTTCATTTAGCCTTTATTTATCCAGGTTAGTCTCATTGAGCCACGAGAACTCATTTTCAAGAGAGACCTGTTTAGGGAGCACATGGTGGGGGTTAAGGACCTTGCTCATGGGCCCAGAGTGGGGCGAATGAGGGTGGGGGCGTGTGGGTGTTTCATCTACCCCACCCACAATTTTGATGTTGTCGGGGCCGGGGCGTGAACCGGCGATCTTAGGATCACAAGCCCACCTCTCTAACCTCTGCGCCACCACTCCCCCAAATAACCAGCATTGCTCTTTTTTAATGTGAGTAATTAATTCACTGTAGCAATAAGCAACATTTAGTTAATGAGCCACTTTTAGCTGTGCGGCTTAGGAAAGTGTTTAAGATATAAAATGACAGCAGTGTTAGTGGGCTTCTTGGTTCATAATAAACTGCAGCATTGTGAGCACAACAGCTGATCAGTTTTAGTCAAAGTGCTCGTAGTGATTGTCACTTTGACGTCTTTGGCTTGATCCCAGCAATCTTGTCCATAACGTGCTACATAAAAGGTTAATCTGATTATTTTACCAGAGCGAGCCAACAAAAGCTGCTGCTTAACATTTAGTTGGTGTGAGCTAGGATTATCTGAAGCTCACAAGAGTTATCGCTATTCAAATTTTATTTGAAGAACTGTTAAAAAAAAGTGCTTCCCACATAAATCAGTACATGGAACGGGGGGTGGGTGGGAACAAACGCAGCTATATTGTGCAAATATGGTACAAAATCTCTAAAGTGTGACTAGTGTGAGTTGAAAATTTCAAGTTCAAGTAGGTTTTATTGTCATTTACCACATGTGGTACATGAGATGGAACAAAATTGTGTACACAGGGTCCCAGTTGCATCCAACGATAGCAAAAATAAGTCAAAATTCAAGCCATCAGTTCAAAAGTACGGTACATTGTTGCCGGAATTAAAACTATAAAATGAATAAAATCATAAAATAATTATAGTTTAAGTATTTATTTTATGCCAAATAGTCACAAAATACAATTAAATTTGATTGAAACTGTAAAAACGAACAAAAATTAAAATCATCACAATCTAATTTAATTAATTCTTTTATTCAACTCTTAACAGATGTCAACAGTCTGGTTTTAGGTGGATGGATTGAATGGAGTGTGTGTATTGTTTCTTTTTGTTTAGGAAGAAAACAATCACTACCTTTTATAAAATTTGCCGATTATATGTAGGTCAATGGTTACCTTTGTAGAGGGCATTTGGGAAAAAGATTGACAGTTCATGTGGAAATTTGTTCTCTAAGCAGTCACAATGAGAGCACAAATTTAACTGCATACATTTAAATGTCACTGTATTAAAATTGCACTTTAGTGTTACACAAATGCCTGTAATTAGAATTAGATTCTCTTGTTATGCCCATTTATTACAATTTTACTGACATTGGTAATAAATAATTAAGACGAAAATTCTGACAATGGAATTTACAATAAACAAATATTTAAATTGTCTCTTTAAGCTAAAATGTTCAAAAATGGTATCAACTTATTCCTGGCTTTCAGTTTTAGTGAAGTAAAAAATAACTTGTAAACATCTTGTATTGATATTTAAAAAACACACACTCTGCCTATAATACTGTATTGTAAATAGTCCGTCCTTATCATTGTTACAACACATATTGAACATTATTTTTATTGTTTATCTTATTTCTTTATATATTGTTTTTAACATTAAGGAACTCTTGTGTGAAATATTTTTATCTTTTTATCTGATGCTGCCGTTACACTTGAATTTCCCATTCGTGGGACAATAAAGGCTGTTTCTATTCTATTCTGTTCTATTCTATTCTATTCCTGTTTCTATTTCTGCAGTACCTCTCATAGTTTTAATTTTTATTTAAAGAACTGAGTCTGATTGTTGATTAGTAAAGCAAACAAACAATTATCAAGAGATCCTCTGATTTTGTTTTCTCACGTTGCTCTATAAATATTTTTGCCATCACTAAAAGACTCAGAATGTACCATCGTTGTATACCCACTTTTCTCTGTACACTATTGACACTACCCCTGGGTAGTGTCAATAGTGTCATTAACCATTAAACCATTAAAGCATGAAGTGACACAAACTAGCTCAGGTAATTAATTTTTTTTTTCAGTGATTAAATTATATTTGAACTACTTTAATGTGCTTACAGCTGGTGGACTTAGTTGTTCACAGTAAACAGAACTATTTTGGGGTGCCCTTTGGGAAAATTCTTCTGTGGGAAATGAACAAATATCGGAGTCCACAGCTGCCCGAGTGACCATGTCCCACCACACTCCCCATCTGCCTCCGTGGCCATACAAGGCTGTTGTTAGTAGTGATTAGTGAACATGACTTGTTAAATAAGGGTTCAAACATGACACCAGCTGCTCAGCTGCAGATTAATGATCCAGTGAAGTATGATGAGGTTGTAATTTGACTCCTAATGGGTCCTGGTTTTGCTCTCAGGCACACTGTGAAGTTGATGAGTGGATCTGTGGGCGTCTTCCCCAATAATGTTTGGTGAATTTGGTAAAGCAGCTGTATGGTGAAATGCAAACAAACTGTTTATTTTTTTCAAATCTGTTGCTGATTATAGATGAAACTTAAAAAAAAAAAATAGTTTGAGTAATGAGCATTTTTGAGTTTCTGACTGAACTCATTTCAAGTTTTCTGCTTATGGTTTGGTATGCTTTCACCATGTATAACTCCAGTATGCTTCATTTAACTGTTTCAACTTTTGAGACATTGTTTTATTTGTTTACACTACCTGGATGAAATTAGTTTTTTCCTAATATATTTGTGTCAATTTACCATGTACAGTAATTTCTAATTAAATATTCAACTCAGTACTTGACCATACCTTGAGTTAGAACGTACACATTTGATTGAGTTCTGCTCTCTTTCTATGTGGATGTTTTCTATAGCTAATTTTCACCTTTAAATTTGCTGTAATAGGTTCTACATCAAAACCGTTTGTCTCATTCTAATCTTATGCGTTATCTCAGAAATATGACATTTTATCATGGTTGTATTGAATAAAAAACGTACCGTAATTATAAGACATTCTGATTTTGACGGTTCTTAGAACGTTATTCCTGTGGACTGGTGTGCATTGACTCTGATTGTCAATGTGGCTGGTAAAGTGAAAATAGCTGTAATGATTTGGTGACAAAAAGGATTGCTGTAATCTGTGAAAAGTGCACATCTCTCATTAAAAAAAAAATAAAGCCTCACGGACAAGTTTTGTTCTGTCATCAGTGTTTACCATGAGATGTAGTGATGCACACCAAATCTGGCAGAACTAGATCTCAATCATTAAACATTGATGTAGTTTATAAACACAGAACAGCTTTTGAAAGACCAAGCCAACAGATCGTCGATGTCAGAATCATTTGTAATGTGGGGGGACACATTAGTTGGGGGGGTCTCGGAGTCCTCCTCCAGGAAATTTTGAATAAAGTAGATGCTATTTCTAGGCCTGTTGGGATAAACAACAAATCAATTAATCGCTTGATGAATGGAAATTATTGACCTCATTTTCATTTATCGCCTTTATCGTTTCTTTGTGGCTCTCTCTTTCTACTGGACACTGGATGACAAAAGGCTCAACTCTGGTGCTCTTCACTGACCCCTCCCTTTCTCTTTTCTTTAAAATCTGTTTTAACCGTCCAAAATCGTGTTTTTGGATGATTAAAAGCAGCTAAGCTGAGAAACTAAGCTACGAGCTAAGCTAACAGGCTGCCCTTGGTGGTGAAAAACCTTCAGTCTTGTCAAAGCTCCAAAATTCACGGTTGAAACCCGTGCCTTCGTGTAAAAAGTTGTTTTTCTCTGAAAGAAGAAGCTGAGAACTTGTTTACTGATTTTTAAAAAATTAAATCTTTGTGTGAAATGCTATGCTAAAGAGCTCAAACCACACCAAGCGTCCACCATTTTGAGAACCAAAAGAAAGGAAGGAGAGACAGCCCATGTCACATCAAGGGGCCTCCTTCCCATTTTTCTTTAAAGATACACGCTGCTCGCTCCCTCACTATCCATCCTTTGGTTCAAACAGTCTTATACTGTCACCCCGTGGTCAAAAAAGATACTACACACAAAAATTAAACAACATTTCTTCTTAAATTGGACATTACCATTTATTGTCAAATTTCAAACAATATTATTGTTTATCGCAATAATTTCTGAGACGATCGTCCAGCAAAATTTGTTATCGTGACAGGCTTAGCCATTTCCTGCATTCTGGTGTATAGTAACAGGTTGTTAAACATCTACGTTTACCTACATAAGTCAACTGCTGGCACTGGCTAATCTAGCAGCACACAATACAGAGGTGCTAGCTAGCTAAGATGCTACAGATGTAACACTGCTTCCCTTACCTACCCCCCCCCCCCCACACACACACACACACTGCCCGCACCAATGTGGCGCTAAGCTAGCGCGCAACACAGAGGTGCCCCACCAAGTGACCTCAGGAAGACACTGCATGCGGTGTAATGAGTTGTTGTCAGTAACCAGGAAAACCTGGAGTGGACTTTTAGTGGTTTGAGTATTCTCCTGTTAATCAAGTAGAATGAATTTGTTCATAAAGAAATAGAAACAGTGCTGGGTGAACTAATATTTCATGGTAAACGTGTGGGTGGGGTCCAACTGAACATTTTTTTAAATGTAAGGGGGACACGTCCCCTTTACATCTAATTGTTGTGACTCCTATGAACAGATCCCCCCCACCTGCTGACTCAACCATAATTATTATTAATATTTTAATATTAAATATATAAAATTAAAAATAAATAAAAATATATATATTTTAATATATTAAAAATATAAAATTAAATATTTTTTTTGCTTTCTTTCCTCAGGTCAACATTATTCCAATCATTGCCAAAGCAGACACAATCTCCAAGAGTGAGCTGCATAAATTCAAAATAAAGATAATGAGCGAGCTTGTGAGCAATGGAGTCCAGATATATCAGTTCCCAACAGACGACGACACCGTCAGTGAGATCAATGCCTCAATGAACGTAAGTCATATTTTACTAGATTCTGTAAAATGGTACTAGAAACAGAGAAACCGATGGGATTTTTAGCAAAAAAATAAATAAAAAATTGGTTTGCTCAAACAAAATTATTATCCTCAGAATAGTTAGTTGTTTTTTTAAAAGATTGGTTTATATTTAATGTTATGTAATTAGCTTTCTGACAAATGCCCTCTCGTATTCATATGCACAAATGAATCCACACTTAATTTCCCCTGGCATACAGTATTCTGATCTATTTATAGTCTGTTCCATCAGTATACACACTCATCAGCTTGTTCCCCTCTGCTTCATTCTGCAACTTACCATTTAATTTTTGAGATAGGCATGTCACACATGTTTTCTACATGATGTCAGCCCTAAAGGGGTGTGGGAGCTATGAAAGGAACAAAGTAATTGTGTTTATTAATTATTAAAATATGTTTCACAACAACAATCTGAGCCAATTAACAGTTCCAGTAAGGCTCATGTGAACATGGTTACACTTCTCTCGTATTCTGATTGTGAAAAAATAGGAGAGTGAAAAAATTCAGCATAAAGGGATTTAATTTGTTTACTGTTGTAAGGATGTAGAAAGCAGGACATTTAACAGTTTTAAAATTGTGACTTAAAAAATTTAGAAAATCAATGAAGAGTCCCTGGTTATATTGCAAGTAAAAACCCCATGACCCAGTATATTTATATATATTTTTTTAATTTAACAATCAACCTTTTTTTTTCTGTGCAGGCCCATCTGCCATTTGCTGTGGTTGGAAGCGTAGAGGAGGTCAAAGTCGGGAACAAATCAGTGAGGGCCAGGCAGTATCCCTGGGGAGTTGTGCAAGGTAGGAACGGTTCACATGAAAGTCTTATCATTGTGTGTGTGCATGTGTCTTTCACAAGCAATCACAACCATGTGTACACGCTTGTGTGCACCGCAGGTGTGTGTTGTTTGACTTTTTGTAACCAGGCTGCAACACACAAAGTGACTGCCAAACTATTATTAGTCTAAAGCGAATGTGCATAATTATTTGTAGTGTTGAGTTTTCTGAAGTCCGAGTCCCAAACATAGAAAAAAAAGCATACAGAGATAGGCGCTGTTCCATAAAGCAGCGTTTATACCGCTCCAAGTCTGATTTCTAATCGTATTGTTTCTCTTGCCTCTGATGAGTAAATGAAAAGTGAGACAGTGGTCACATATGATGCTGTGGCTGGAAGATGTTAGGCAGATTAACACCACTGTGGAAAAACAAACAATGGCTTTTATGTCTCTGACCTCCATAAATCTAATAAGACTTGTTTATAAGCCTGTCACAATAACAAACTTTGCTGGGCTATTAATTGTCTCAGAAATTATTGCGATAAACAATAATATTGTTTGAAATTTGACAATAATTAGTAATTATTGTCAAATTTAGGAAGAGATGTTGGTTAATTTGTTTTGAGTGTACTACCTTTTTTGACCATTGGATGGCAGTATAAGGCTAGTTGAACTGAAGGATGGATAGTGAGGAAGCGAGCAGCTTGTCTCTTTAAGAAAAATGGGAGGGAGGCCTCTTGATGTGACATGGGCTGTCTTTGGTTCTCAAAATGACGAACGCTCGGTGTAGAGCTTTTTAGCATAGCATTTTTCACACAAAGCTTTTAATAAAAAATCAGTAAATGAATTCTCAGCTTCTTTTTGCAGAGAAAAACAATTGTTAACACGAAGGCACGGGTTTCAACCGTGAATTTTGGAGTTTCGAGAAGACGGAGATTTTTCCTCCAGGTTGGCCTGTTAGCTTAGCTCGTAGCTTAGCTTCTCAGCTTATCTGCTTTTAACGATCCAAAAACGCAATTTTAGATGGTTAAAATGGATTTTAAAGAGAAAGGGCGGGGTCAGTGAAGAGCACCGGAGTTGAGCCTTTTGTCATCCAGTATCTTCAGTAGAAAGAGACACGAAGAAACTATAAAGCTGATAAATGAAAACGAGGTCAATAATTTTCATTTATCATACGATTAATTGATTTATTTTTTATCGCGTCAGGCCTACTTGTTTGTTGATTATAAATGCTCACTGACTTATAAGAAACTAACACTTAAAATATTGTTGAAGTCAAATCATGTTACAGTGTTCAAATGTATATTAAAATCCTGTATTTTGATTATGGCCAGCAATATCATCCATTTAGATCAATTAAGTTTTTTTCCTCTGGGGTGTTTCATGGAGTTTAGAGGCATTCTTTTCACGTTTTATCTCACTTGAGAATTTTGCAGTCATCTCTGACACACGGTCTCCTGCATGTTTAATGTTAGCTCTGTGTCTAGACAAGGTTAGAAATGCAAGTCCAAAGAAAAGCTCACATGTTCAGTCAGGAGAAACGAAGCTTTTCTGACATTTCTGAAAGCGTGTCGAGAGTGTAGTGCATTGGACTAAAAGCAAAACCAAGAATTATCCTGTTCACGTTACTTCCTGAATCTTGTTACGAGGCGAGTAATCTAGGGGAAAAACTGTGCTTTGATTAGTTATTATTTTGTTTGTTTTGAAAGAAACTTTGTTGTTAAACAGAAAATTAAATTTTAACAACAGATAATGATTTAGTAACAATGTGTGAGCTGTTGCATAGACCTTTGGTTGTTTCTGTGAGTGCTTTAAATCTAAAGCTGACCATCTTTTTGCATCCTTGGTGAAAAATGTTTGTCCGTGGCAGTGTGGTGACTGCACACTCACTGTTTGTCAATTTATATTCACCCTGTTAAAGCTGCAAGTGCGATTTCTTGCAGAATGACAGGAATGAAGGGCAAATGGGTAAATACTTTTTGCAAATTTGACAGTGTAAGGCTGTCTGTGTTCACTTATGATTAACATATTGTCTTTGTATTAGTTTAGTATTTGTGTTTCCATGTATTCGCTGTATCAGATAAATCTCTCCGCCGACGTTTCCTTGGAGATGTCACCTCTAGTGTCAGCTTTCTTGGGAGTTTTTGTTTCCCACTGCTCATTCCTCTGCATTTGTCAGTGGTGGTAAAGTTTAATTCAATAAAGTGACACAGAGATGTGCTGTGAGAATATTACTGCTCATGTGGGAGTTATCCCTCCCTCCCTCTATCTTGTCCTCCCTCTCTTCCTTCCTTCTACATTTACTGCCGTCTCCCTGGCTGACCCCCTCTTCTGATTATGACCACCGACCACAATCATTCTCCAACCCTCAGAGGACTCTTTGTGGTTACTTATGATGTCTGTTGTCTTCTCTTAGGGGACAGATTCTTCTGGAATTACTATAAGGCAGCAGTCTTGTAACAGATACATTTCTCCAAAACGGTTTTGTAGCTGTAAGGTTTCATGACATTTATTGTTTAAAAAAAGCTTTTTTTCATATTTTATTACTTCTTAACAGCAGTTACATAGAGGTTAACGAGGACTCAAAAACACAGAAAATTGGCATTATGAAGAAAAGTCATTGTGATGTTTATCAAAGTCACTTATGAGTGGAGACCACACCAGAAAATATTAATCTTTAGCACCACAGTAATCTGAAATATGCCTTTTACAGAAGACATTAAAGTTGTTGGAACATGTTGGTCTTAGTCCATGCTGAAATATCGCATCAATCTGCAAAGTGCCTGCAACTATATGTTTTAGGTCATTTAGCTTTGTTTTATACTGAAGATTGTAGCTAATTGTCAGATTTGAGCAGAACTAGCAGCCTCATCCTTTAGTCTGATTTTGGTCCAAGCTTTTCAGACAAGGATTGCTTGTTCAAAAAAATAACAAGAAATCAAGAATCATGTTCCTAAAATTAGATCTGCTATTGAAGTTTTTTTTTCTTCTGCATTTATTTTGTTAATCTACAGTGGTGCTTGAAACTTTGTGAACCCAAGAGTTGAAGCTGTTTTGTGCGGAGGAATGGGTTAACATTCCTCCAATCCGTTGTGCAGGACTGATCAGCAGTTACCGGAAACGTTTAGTTGCAGTTACTGCTGCACAGAGGTTCACACGAGATACTGAAAACAAAGGTTCGCATACTTTTGCCACACACAGATATGTACTATTGGATCATTTTCTTCAATAAATAAATGACCAAGTATAATATTTTAGTCTAATTTGTTTAACTGGGTTCTCTTTATCTACTTTTAGGACTTATGTAAAAATCTGATGATGTTTTATGTCATTTATATAGAAATAAAGAAAATTCTAAAGGGTTCACAAACTTTCAAACACCACTATACTTTGTCCATCTTCACCTGGCAACAACAATTGGGATGTAAAGCTATATATATGTTTTTCCTCTCTTTTATCAGGGAAAGAAAGGACAACTTATTCACTCAAAGCACTTTTTCCTCCAGTCTGAGAACTAGAGGAGGAGGACAGCAGTGTCTCTGTTTCCCAGCTTTCAGTTGACTAAAATGAGGATCTCGGTCAGTGGAAACAGTTTGAACATGCCAAATATCATTTAGATAGGCTACGGAAGCCTCAAAAAAAAAAAAAAAAAAACTACAGAGAAGTTTCCATGCACTTGAAGGAAGACAGAGGAAGGACTGTGCAGTGACAATAATGAGAGTGATTGTAGAGGGGGTTTAGTTGGTGTGCTTATCTTCCCTTCTGGATCTCATGCCCCCGTTATCTCTGAACTTTATCTGTGACATAAACTAGACTCATGTTTATTCTGTTCTTTGTGTATTTGTTTAAACGTAAAATCTGTTGAAGCCTGCTTTCTTAAGAAATTAGATGTCATATATGCAAAGGTTTTTCATTTGATCATGGATTGAGGACGGTTTTTTGGGCACAATTAGCAAATGAACACACTTTTTGTGTAATTAAGTTGATTATGGTGTTTGTGAAGGAGTAACTTTGCTACCAGAAACAGGAGCAGATCATTAGAGCACAAATTGCAAACAAATTGGTTTTGCTGTCAAGTCTTGTCCCCGTATGTTTTTTTTTTGCTGGTGATTAGATCTTAACTTATCTAAATAAATCTATCTCAGAGTCACGTCTGATGAGCACAAAATATGAACTTTAGCAAGTCTGCTGCTGATTTTGTGAATCCACAAATACATTTTCCTGAACCATGTGGATATTTAGATAGTCACTTGTTTTAAAGTCTCTTAAGCCCCATTTATAGCAAATATATATATATGGAATAGGGATGCATGATATTATCGGCATGATATCAGTATCGGCCGATATTAGCGTTAAAGTTCCATATCGGACATTGGCCATTCCATCAAAATAACTCACCGATATAAAAGGTGCTGTTTTTGTTAAATAATGTATACTTTTGTTTATTTGAAAGGGCTATGGTCTGACAAAGGAAAGCATTTTTAAAATATCAGTATCGGTTATCGGCCAAATAAGTTTTAACATATCAGGATATTGGATATTGGCCAAAAATCCAATATTGTGTATCCCTAATATGGAATATGGTAGGTTTATTGTAATTGATGTGCAAAAGTAAAATAAAAACAATAATAAGTTCTCTTAAATCCTCCAACCTGCTTGTCATTAGCTACGTGCCTCTCAAGTTAGGAAGCTAACATTTAGATAACCTAGCCTAGGCTATTACCTTGTTAAACTTTATCCAGAACAATAAATCTAACGTAGAGGTAAAACACGTCAGTGTTAGTAACGTTATCTTTGTCGTCCTCAATGAAATGCACTGTTTGTCTAGAATCTTTACTTCTCTGCAAAGAAAAGACGAAAACGCGCTGCAGTCAATACTAATTAGGTCTTCACTATACGTGACTGACTGTTTAAACAATGAATAAGGAAGGGTGTTTTTTTTGTTTAATTTATATTTTTGTAACACACTTGATACATTTATGGTGAATAGCGGAGCATAGAAAATATGAATGCACATTAGGAAGACTGTTTCAGTCAGAAAACTATCCTTCATTTTGCCCTCAGTGGGAGGTCAGTACAGTACATGGGAGCGATCAGAAGCCAAATAAACAGGCAGTTTTAAGCCTTAAGAGATATCTCTTTTTACCAATTGTTTTTTTTTTTAATTAGCTTTACAGTAGACAAACTTCTTGAGGGTGTTTTTTTCACTTGTTCTTTTGTCTCTTTGTCTAGTAAGACCTTTTTTTCTGAGACGTTTGGGTTTATCAGACGCTCACTGTTATACATTTTACTTGTGTGGTTTGGTGCCATACTCTGTAGGGTACTTTCCTCACATTTCTCACTGCTAAAATTTAAATACCATCCTAATTAAGAATTGCTAATGCCATTTTGGTTGGCTCTACATTTTAGTTGCATTTTTTTTGTGGTTGGGGTTAGGGTTTCCAATCTCTGCATATTGGGATTTTCTAAAAACCAGTTCAATGTGCACTCCAAATCCAGGTAGTAGTTGGATTCTTCTGATTTGGTTGGTGGTTATGTAAAGCTTTGCTGATAAATGTTTAACAGCTGTAGGTGCCTGCTTCCATTCAGGAGTCAAACGAATGAAATGAAGACACATTTCTGTCTGTGCCAGAATCATTTTGCACACGCTGCTCCTAAAACCAGTTTTAAACCGTAATTTTTTTCCAAAGTTATCTCTGTTTGAGATGACCTGCTGAGGCTGTTACCTTTTGGGTTCGAGCTAGTTTTTCTAGCAATGGAAAAGTAAAAGAAAAAGGAGTAAAAATGGGAGTAAGACTTCATATTTCAGTATGGACAGGATTCGGCAAACAGGCTTTAGGGTAGCTGCTTGTCTCACTTTCCTAAAGAGCCTTGGATTCAGTTTTTAATCCACAAAGGCTTTAGAAGTTATTAAATATTTTCTCCTGCCTGCCAAAGGGAATGGGGACAATTCTAAAATAGTTTTGTATGTAATGATAGTTGTAGGAAACATGCATTATAGTAGGATTGTCTGGCTTTTTGTGGCATTTTAGGCACCAGTTTTTTCTACTTTATACTGCAGTTGCTTTGATTGTTTTATCATATTGGCACCTTTCAGCATTGTACAAGGTGTACTTTGACATTATCATTATAAAATTGATTTTACAGCTTTAATTAATTATTTAAAAAAAGGGTTCAGAATGTCTAAACTCTAATTAAATGCTGAGTCAACCTTATATCTTATTGCAATAATACTGACCATTTGTTTTACTTTACTAAAACTGCTGTGGTAAATGAGGATTTTTTCTTTCTTTCTTTTTACTTTTCCAGAACAGTCCATATTGTTGTTAGTCTGACGTGACCCTTGACTAAAGAACAGAATGGAAATGAGGCCCAGGGCGACACCGGCGCTCCTGTTCTGCTGTTAGTCTGACGGACCGGATACACTTTATGCCCTTTCTCTTCTGTCATTTAACTGTGATACAGACATGAAAATGAAGCAGATTATTTTTTCAGTTTTCCTAAAGGTGAAAATGGAGGTTAGGAAGTAATCTAACTTTAATAATTTTATAAATTTTATTTACCAGTTCTGCAGAACAGCAGCGGCTCTCGGTTCTAGTCCAACTTGGTTCCGTTTCGGTGGACCTACCCTGCTGGTTCTGGCCAACTCTCTAGTTTGGGATAGTGGCAGTGGGCTCCGGAGGGAGCGCCGGACTACGGGAGGCACATCCCCACTCATAGGGTCCTTGTGGGCCAGCTAGCAGTTCTAGGGTTCACCGATGAGTCTGGGGGTCCGGTTCTGCTCTAGTACTCGTTAGGGATGTGCGATATGGCATAATATTCATATGACGATATATATTGTGAAGGGTGGCGATAACGATACATATCGCAATATGTTTTTGGTATAAAACTTGGAATAGGAATGAAAAAAACCTTCAACCGACCTTCAGGTGGTCGGCGTGAGACCGGAGGTTGTCTGATTGAGTCCAAGTCTGGATTAAAAAAGTCCCGGTGGGCTCCAGAGAGAGCTCCGGATCTACGGGTGGCGCATCCCCACTCAGTGGGGTCCTTGTGAGCCAGCTAGCAGCTCTAGGATTCGCCAATGGGTCTGGAGGTCCGGTTCCCTTTGGGTTTCGTGCAGCTCTCTTCATTCGCTGTGCACCCAAGTCACTGTAAAGGACCGAATTTTTCAGATCAAGTCAAAACGTTCCCTCTAGTATTTCAGCAGAAGGCAACGGGGCTTTTGGGCAGGGTACTGTTGGCTTCTGGGAAATGTAGTCGTCATGAGTGGGGATACAATGGAGGTTTATTGAGAGAAAACTACACAATGGTGGTGCCTGTCCGAATTATTTTATTTTTTCATTAACTTTTTACTGCACAGTATCCAGTACTGTCCCAATCACGTGAGTAATATTAACGTTGACAATCGTGTGTCCTGTACAGTTTTTTTTCCCTCGTGTTCAATCTTACTTTGAAAAACCACGGAAGAGCAAGTCTGCGAAGGTCTAAGTACGTAGTAGCGAGGGACTACTGTAAATAGGCCATAACTACATATTTGTAACTCTCTTATTAATTCTGTGAAATGTTGCGCTGAATCTGTACTTCTGTCCTAACTGTGGCATTTGTTTCTCTTCTCAGTTGAGAACGAGAGCCACTGTGACTTTGTAAAACTCCGAGAGATGCTGATTAGAGTCAACATGGAAGACCTGAGGGAGCAGACGCACGCCCGCCACTACGAGCTGTACCGGCGCTGTAAGCTGGAGGAGATGGGCTTCAAAGACACAGACCCCGACAGCCAGCCGTTCAGGTAGAGAGTGGGCGTGTACAACACGTTCGCCGAAGAGCCAAAAGGCGCCGAAACACAGAACCCCAAACCGCAACGTTACTCTGCTGTCAACAGTCGAAAAAGACTATTGTTTTAAAACAATGCGTCTATTTCTGTCTGTTTTCACTTGTTCCTTTTTGTCTTCACTTTTCGCCCTGCAGCCTTCAAGAGACGTACGAGACCAAGAGGAAAGAATTTTTAGGGGACCTGCAACGGAAGGAGGAGGAAATGCGGCAAATGTTTGTTAACAAAGTAAAAGAAACTGAAGCAGAACTTAAAGAAAAGGAGAAAGAGGTCAGTTTGGATAAAAAAAAAGGAGATATTTTTGACTTTAAATGGCTGCTGATGTTAAAATGTTTCTTTTTGAGGAATTTGTTTTAAATAAAACTCATAAATCTTTTAGGCCTTAATGTTGAAGGAGTTGTTAAAAACAAATTATGCATTTAAGTTATTATTATTATTATTATTTATTTGTTTATCACTTATTTTGAACTGATTAGCCAGCATGTACTCTGTGCTTTTAGGTTCACATGGCTCAGCAATTAGTTTTGAAAATGTTGACTTTTATTAGCAATTTTATTGTCACAAGTTGCTGGTTATAATTTTAATTTACTCACACAGCAACAAAGAAAGTAAAAGAAGTCTTCATAACTTTTGTAAACGATAAAAGAAGCAAACACCATATGAACCTGTGGTGGCATTTCTTTTTTTGCCATGTCTTCTGATTATTTGGTAGGTTTCACTTCAAGTACATCACATGTGGTGTTGTCATGGTTACCACAGTATTGTCCCTAAACAAAGCACTCATGCAATGTCCAAAATGTTAACTTTTTCCTTATATGGTTCTGTATTACTAGTAGTTCAATGTATTTTTTGGGGGGATTTCCCACTTATCTGTCACTTTAAGACTTGAGACCAGATTCCTGTGCAGTGTTGAGCTCGACTCTTTCTGTGTTCAGGACAGATTAGGGGTTAGTGTTGAGCTGAATTGATGTTTTGTGTAAGAACAAGAGCCAGGCAGAACACACTGCATTAGACAAGCACACTGTTGTTACAATGCAAATTCTGAAATTAGGATGCAGAGGAGGCAGCACGGTGGCGCAACTGGTGGAGCTGCTGCCTCTCAGCGAGCAGGTCCCTGTATCAACTCTCGGCCCGGGGGCCTTTCTGGGTGGAGTTTGCATGTTCTCTCTGTGCATGCATGGGTTTTCTCCGGGTACTCCGGTTTCCTCCCACAGACCAAAAACATGCATGTTAGGCTGATTGGCAACTCTAAATTGTCCCTAGGTGTGAGTGAGAGAGAGAGTGAATGGTTGTTTGCCTCTGTGTCCATGTGATGGACAGGAGACCTGTCCAGGGTGTACCCCGCCCCTCGCACAGTGATTGCTGAACATGGGCACCGGTGACCCCCCATTACCCAAAATGGAAGAATCGGGTAAAAGTTAATGGATGAATGGATGCAGAGGACTAGAAGTGGCCAAATACAGATTTTTGTGCCCACTAACTTTGTTGTGGGAAATGTGTGCAAAAAATAGCTTCTAGTTTGCACTCAAAACCAAAAATAAACGTGTCAGTGAAGGTCATTGCATCAACACAGATATGTTTCAAGTGTGGCTTCTGAGCTCCTTGCGTTGATGATTTATAATGAGAGATAAATAGTACACAAGTTAATAAAGGTATGATTTTGGATTTTGCAGACTTATTGTTGGCATCAAAGCATAATCTAAATGTTTGAGTAAATGTGTGATTTTATTCGAAACTCTAGGTATTAGGGATGCACGATATTGGATTTTGGGCCGAAATCCGATATGCCGATATGTTAAAACTTGTTTGGCTGATAACCAATACCGATATTTTATATACTCTCCTTTGTCAGAACATATCTCTCTTATTTAGGCTTATTTGCTACTAAAATTGTGCAACAGCTGTAAGAGCTGGTGACATATATTCAGTAACAGCCATATGATATGCATAGCACTTTAACTTATATTAAATGAAAAGTGTTAAATGTTATTTATTAGCATTAGTCACCTGTGATGCTGTCTCACTTTTGGAGGCTTGTTCCAGTGTGGGATCCTCTGCACTCCTGTGCATGAAGGACAGACTTTTTAAGATCAAAGTTTTTGTCTATCCATTGTGCTGTAAGACTAATCATGCTAACAGGGCTAACACGACGTCCAAATGTCTGTGGTAAAACTCACCCAAGTGCTATCGGCTGTTATCTTCTCAATGACATCGGAAATGACGGCTTGTAACTCGGGTAAGGCTACCACAGAAAAATATATCCGACTGGGGACGATGTCGCGAGGCTCAACGTGGTCCAAAAATCTTCGGAATCTGACATCCTCAACAACAACAAAAAAACTTCCACACCACCGACATTTTGACGTCTTCCTCTCCACTGTGATCAGATCAGATAGGTGCGCGTGACGTCATCACATTGTGCTGGCGCTGCAGGCATCCTTGTCACTGGGTTGTCATACAAAAGCAGCGTCTTTTGTATCGGTGTGTTATTTTGATGGAATGGCCGATGTCCGATATTGAACTTTAACACTAATATTGGCCGATACGATACCATGTCGATAATATCGTGCATCCCTACTAGGTATTCTATTTTCAATTTGAGTTTCCTTATCTTTGTTTTTCCTCCATCGCCTCCTCAGCTGCATGAAAAGTTTGAGCAGCTGAAGCGTATGCACCAGGAGGAGAAGAGGAAGGTGGAGGAGAAGCGGAGAGACTTGGAGGAGGAGATGAATGCCTTCAACAGGAAAAAAGTGGCGTCCGAAACACTGTCCTTATCTCAGCCCCTCAAGAAAGACAAGAAAAAGTAAGACAGCATCCCCTCAATCACTCTCTTAATTTTTCTTTCAAAAACAGGACGCTGCTTTCTCAACGCTTTCTGATTTTCCTTAAGTAGCTCCGCTTCCTTCCATTGTCTGCCCTGTGCCTTAAAAACTCTGTCTTTTTGTAGATTTCCTTCTCTCTTCCTTTCTTGTGCTTAACTCCATTACTTCTAAGCAGGAAGTGTGCGTTCTGCTATGTCCTGCAGCAAACCGCCTCATTAACGAGCCTTTAAAGGAGTGCTGTGCTGATGTTGACTTATCTCTTAAACACCAGTATTTCAGCTTTTCTAAGAGCTTGACGTGTTAAAGAAACTTCCTCCCTTTTTTTTCCCCTGCCCATGCTTAACATTTCCTGCTTTCACTCTTTCTCTTTGCTCTGCTCTAATATTTTAGAATACTCTCTGAGGCAGTCTTCTTTTCTGGCAACAAAAAGCTCTTCAACAAAAGTTTTTACCTTAAAAAGGATCTAAAAGAGGAATATGATGACGTTCTCACTACAGTAGAAGGTGGCATACATTAAAAGGTTTTTGAGCTCCTTAAATCTTGTCTTCAAAACAACATCTGACCAGAGCATATGTATGGAGATAAATTAGTCTCAAAAGTAGTCGCACAAGCATGCAAGATTTGTGTGTACAATAAGATCTACAAGAAAATTCACAAGTACATAAACAGTTTTTCAAATGTACACATTTCAAATTGCACAAGTAGGAATATTCTTCACAGTCATATTGTCAAATACAGGTGCACGGCTGAAATAATTTTTTTGCAGAGGAAGAATAACTTGCACATTTTGAGTAGTTTATTTTAAATAGACAGTCCACACAAAAAAATACTGGAATTTATATTTTTTGGTAGTTTTTCAAGTAGAAGGAAATGTTACTTTGTGAACTGTATGGCTGAAATAACAGTAGAATAGGTTATTCATCATGTGAAAAATCTTATCAGGGGGAAAAAATAAAATAAAATAAAATATATATATATATATATATATATACACTCACACGCATAAATACAAAAATAAATGTAATATCCCTACTTCGTGGATTTTCACCTGTCGCGTGGGCTGTCTGGAATGTAAACCTTGCGATAAGACTACTGTATTACCAGAAAATAATATTTTGTACACGTACAATCCTGAATAGTTTGACTACTTCTGAGACAAATTTATCTCCATAGTATGAGCTTTGTGCAACACCTGATCCATTGTTTTTCATCATAATATAAAGCTTGTAACTGGCTACACCAAACTATGAGGAACTGTGGTTTCCATTTCAAGTTTCTATCAGAGCAACTAAAACGTGAGCTCCAACGTGTTAGTTTCAGCCTCTCCTTCAGATTCCTTTGAACGCAGACAAACTTGTGCATGTCATTTTTCATTCAGGCCGTTCTTTCTACGAGAGTTGCAACAGCCCTCTGCACAAATTTGTTTCTTTTAAGAGTTCTGGAAAAAAAATATTTTATAGTTTTGGTTTAATTAGGAAAAGATTATGAAAAGTTTTTTTTTTAAATTTCTAGTCTTGAAGGTGAATTTAGACTAAGTGAGCTGAAGTTAATGTCTGAGAGTTTTAAGCAGCACTTTGTTGTGTGAATTGGGCTGGGCTTGTTAGTTACTCATCAATGTGACTTTATTTTAAATATTTTCTGAGGCTCAGAAGTTGAAAATTAGACATCTGGCGCCCTCTTGTGGCTGCTCATGCTAATTGTGGATTCTGCTGTTTGAGCTTCCATTTTGTGAGTTTGTTTAGATGATTTCTCAAGTCTTTAGTGTGGAAATTTGACATTCTCAAATTTATTGCATACCAAATGCTATATTTCAAAGTAAAGCTGATAAAAAGGCAGATATAACTTAAAATGTAAAATATTTAATATTCGTTTAGTTCCTAACCAATCACTGCACTGCCTCTTTACTTTAACATTCACCTATTTTTAAAATTTTATTTTCTCCCAATAAACTAGTTGTCCATTGATTCACTTTGTTTTTGTTTATTGTTTCATTGTTTTTCAGTTGATTTGTGGGCGCAGTACACCCATCCACACACGACCATGGATTTGTCCTCCATCATCATAGCAACAACAACATCTGGCCATTTTTGTTCGTTTCTTTTCGTTTTTGTTTTGACATTCCATCATGACATTGTGCACATGGACCAAACACACTGAGGATGATGATGATGGTGAAGCCACAGGAGAGAGAAAGATGGTGAGAGATAATGAGGAGAAATGTTCACGTTCCATCAGTGGCCATCTCATTAACTCAGGATCTTTTTTTATTATTTTTTTTTTTTTCTGTGCAGCTCTGGACATTTTTTATATGTTTTGTTTTCTGTTGAATGATTTAAATAATTTCTATATGTTTTAAACTTTTTGTGTGTGTTTCACCATCAGCTGTCGCTTCATTCTGACTTCTTGGTACTACATCTGCTTAAAATATGTATTCAAAATGTAAGGAGTTCTTGATTTTAGAGGACTGAATTTTAAATTTAAGATATCTGAAGTAAAAGTTGCCCTTAACTTTATCTTAAACGTTAGATCCTTTTGAAATACTGCTCAGTTATATCTCTGTTCAACCTTTTCTACCTTAAGAATCTAGCTTAGTAGAGTCAGCTGTTTGAATAGCATTGTGTCAAGCAGTAACCAAGTACCTGTATGCTGTATAATTTGCATTTACAAAGGTACTGACAAACTTAAGATGTAGTGTTGAGTCTTAAATCTATGCAATATTCTTGTGATGCAACGGTTAAAGTATGTGAATATTTTCTAGAGCTTACAGTAATATGCAAAATGTACTAGTTTTTTAATTTTATGGAACCTAAATATGACTTAAGCCCATAAGATGCTGTACATGGTGATTTAACATTATTGTAAACGATGAGTGTGGAATCAGAGCTCAGTAAAACACAGGATTCAGGAAAACCTTCAAGCCTCAGCTCGCTGTAGATGAGTTTACTCTCAGACACCAAGTGGAGAGCAGCTGTATTTACGGTCTGTTGTTGCAAATAAAACCTCCACTCCTGACTTTGAACCCTCTCTCTGCCCCGATTTGTTTTTCTGTTTACTCTGAAGAGTTGAGGCAGGTGAAGGCGCTGCTGTCAGCTGGAGACGGGGTTTCCTGTTGAAGCTGTCCTGACTGTGGAGCTGAGGGGGGTGTTTGTTCAGATTAGACCTACTTCTGCTCTCAGCACAGTGCTGCTGATCTCTCTGAGCTGTGTGTGTGTGTGTGTGTTTGCCAAAGGTGGAGTGTGTGTGTGTGTGTGTGTGAGGAGAGAAATATGCAACAGTTGTTAACGTTGTAAGTCAGTGGAGGAAGTGAGTGTGCCGTGTTTGTCTTCCTGTGTTCCCTACATGAACTGAGAGAAGTTCCACTCCAGGAGAAGCTCACTCTACATGTTAGACTCCTACTGTTCTGAGTGTAATTAAATTAATGAAGATAAATCTGTATTTATGTATTTGATACCTTCCTAATTGTAGTTATCGCCCACCGCCAAAGTTTTCACCCTTTTCTTTTTGTTTGTTTATTTACATTTCATGAACCATTTGATGGATTTTAATGAAACTCTCAAAATAATCATTGGATTACAGTAGTCCCTCGATTATCGTGGGGATTACGTTCCAGACACCCCCACGATAGCCGAAAAACAACGAAGTGGTAACGTAACGCTATATTTATTGTAGTATTTATATATATTTTAAGTCTTAATAAACACTTTCCACACACTTGCAATGTTCTAAACTCTTAAACCTACATAATTTTAACAACATATGTATATGTACTGTGCAGTACTGCAAAATTTTATTCACCAGCTCTGCAGACCAGCAGCTCTGTTCCGGTTCTGCAGACCTACCCTGCAGCGATGAAACCCACCGCCCCGTCCAGGTTGATGTGCACGTGGATAATTGAGCTTCAGGATTATTTGCAACTTTCCTGCCATTTCTGTGAGCTTCATAGATAGCGTTGCAAAACTTTCCCTCCATTTCAGTAGAAAGCAGCGGCCGGAAGCACAGTTGGCTTCTGGGCAGTGTAGTTCTTTTGACTGGCGATACAGTGTAGGCTTATTGGAAAAAAAACCTACAAAATGGCGGCACCTGTTCAAAGTTTTTTCTTTAACTTTTTATCCCGTACCGTCCCAATCACGTGAGTAATATTAAAGTGGGCAATGGTTGAAAAAACGCAAAGTAGCGAGGGACTACAGTATATCTACAACTGAGTAACATTTCAAGTCAACTATATTCAAGATGGCTGCCACAGCTAAGCAACTATAACACACACAAAACGAGGTTTAACTCTGTTAATTTCAGAAATTTAAATTTGATGTGGTCACTGAGAGTCATCAATGCATTCAACATTGATATTAACTATTGGAGTCAGTGCTGTTAGCAAAATATCTCATGAACCATTGGATGTATTTGAATGTCACACTTAAAGGGGCACTTGATGGGATAGAGGTAGGGCAGCCAACTTTGGACCAGAAAGTTGTGATTCAACTCCCCGCCATGCCCACATGTCGCGGTGTCTCTGAGAAAGACACCCAATCCCTAATCGCTCCCCGGGTGCTTGCATAGCTGCCCACTGCTGCACCTGGGTGTATCTCACATGTGATGGGTTAAATGCAGAGAACTCATTTCATCATTGTATGGAAACACACAATGATGACAATCTCAAACTTCCCTTACAATATTGAATGTACATCTATAACTCCAACTTCTGGAGTCAACCCAGTTTAAGATGATCACCACACTCAACTTCTTCTTTCGGCTGCTCCCTTCTTCAGGGGTCGCCACAGCGAACTAGGTCGCACGAAGACTCTGCAGTTATTTTTTACGCTGGATGTCCTTCCTGGTGCAACCACAGACCACTGAGCTACCACAGCCCTCTGAGTGGAGCAGAGAGCTGTTATCTAGGACACCCTGAGGAGCAGATGGTGGGGGTTAAGGGCCTTGCTCAAGGGCCCAGAGTGGGACGAATGTGGGTGGGTGCTTCACCTACCCCACCCACATTTTTTATGTTGTCGGTACCGGGGAATGAACCGGCAATCTTCTGATCACAGGCCCACCTTCTCTAACCTCTGCGCCACCTCCCCAAACTAAACTAACTTTAGGAAACAGAAATTGTTATAACTCAGTCACTTACACAGAGATTGAGGTAACATTTGGTGTGGTGGTTAAGAGTCATCCTCAAAACAAACTGACACGTCCTGTGAGGTCTCACAAAATTACATTTACAAACTTTGACAGCTGTAACTTCAACTCTTCTCAACACAAGAGGACTTTAGGACTGTGCATCCCTTTAAGGAATTTTTCACCTTTAATCATTTTTTGTTCCTTTAAAAAACTGCTTTCCCCACCTCTTCATATTGGTAAATAATTTTAATTATCAGGTGTTTGCCCTGGAAAACATTGGAAAGTTTTAAAACCTTCTAAATAGCTTTAGAGCCCCATTGACATCCTTTTCAGTTTACTTTTGTAGCAATATGGGGTGTAAATATATGTTCTGATTATCAGTTATGAGTTAAGCTCATAAAATACGCATGTGTTATGCAAATAACCTCATTGTTTGGGCACCACCTCTCTCTTGGAGAGGAAAATCAATCTATTTACCCCAAAATAATGTAAATTGAACGAGAGTTCTTTTCTCGCATTTAAAGAATATGAAATCAATTAATACGCACAGATATGCCAAAATAATCACAAATTCAGTTTTGAATGTCCAGAGGACCAGATTGAACTTTTTTGGATTTTCTACCTGGATTATTGAGCATGCATCAGGACACAAATTCAGTTGATTTTTATGCATTTTATTATAAAAATAATAATCTGTGATATATATGGTGAAAATTATGCATGACAAGAGTTAACATCAAATGGCTTTGACTCAAAGGTCTAATTGATTATTAAAATTAGTGAAACTTAAAAGGCAGACTTAGGACTGGTTTCTGTTTGTGAAGTGGTTAAAAATGTGTCTAAGGTGAGCTAAGTTCGTCTAAGATTATTGTGATGTAGGGTCACCAGAAAGGCATTGAAAAGTCTCTGTCCTACCAGGATGTAGATGGTCAGAACATGGTTCCAACAGCTGCTAATGATGCCAGCAAGACCTCAGATGTTCTGGTGACTGAGAGGCTGAAGTTTCCTCAAAGTTCACCTGTCATCAGTTGAAGGGACGAAGGTCCATGGTTGCTGGTTCTGGCAGTCAGCTGGGATTTACCACTCTGGTGGGATTCTGGTTCTGGTCAGGCACTGACCTATCTTTCCGTCTCGTCTTGAGACTGCAGAAAGGTGCTTCTTCTCTCTCTTTTCGTCCTAGGATGTCTCTAGGAAGTATGAAGTTTGCTCAAAAGTCATCTGCTGAAGGTGGTGCTTCTCTCTCAGGTCAAGTGCAGAAGCGTGTTTCTTCTCTCTCCTTTCTCTGTGTGAAGTGTGAAGGCTTTTGGAGTTTTTCTTAAAAGTGAAACTTAACTCTTGTGTTGGAACAGAGAGATGGCCCTAAACTCTTGGCCTTGTTTTATAAATCTAATGTCCTTTTTCTGCCTTAAAAGTTTTCTTTTTAAAAGAGAAAATAAGACAAATGTATTATCTTAAAGAAAGATTACCTAAAATACATTTCTCATAAATAAACATTCAAAATATGACACATGTAGAATTAAACTTAAAACATGCATTGTTATAACAGAGGTGTCGCTGTTGCCTATCATCTCCTGGAAAGGGAATGCCAATTTGAACAAACAAAAGGGTTCTTATGGTGTTCTCTTCATGGGAACGAAAGTTTGGGAGTATTACTTTTCGATAAGGCAAGATATCAAACATGGCAAGTTCGGATGTTTTAGAAACTCTGAGGTCAGGTCATTAAAACGATCTCAGTTTCATGGGAAATTAATTCATATTGGGTTAGTGAGGTTAACACAATAAGTTTTTTTTGTTTTTTTTTACATTAGTCTCAACTTCAAAAGATTTTGAGCTAAGCTGAATATTTGTAAAACGATGTCTGTTCATTCCCAAGGGAATAGAAGAATCTTGTTTTAACAGTTTCAAACTCAAAAACAAAGGAATGCCGTTTGTTTGAGGTGAGGTTGACTTTTTTTTTTTGAGCTGAGGTGTTCCCCTACACTTTAATCAGAACACAATTTAGAAAACACATTTCTTTCCATATTTGCTACATTTGTTTCAGAACCCAGAGTGCATCTTTGACACTTGAGAAAGCAGGTTTTCAGTTTACAGTGAACACTTGGCCTACACTGTTATTATTCTGTTCACTACCTGCAGGGCTCACTGGATCTCATCCAGCAGCACAATATGTTCAGAGCTCGGTGTTCTGTCCTTTAACGCACCGTGCTAACAGAGCTGAATGATAATCGCGCTCTGACAGGCTGCTGAAGCAGCTGCTCCTCATGAATGCTGTGATGGTTTCAGGCCTCACAGCTTTAAATAAAAAAAAGCAAACAAGTCATTCAACAGTTTGACCAACTCTTATTGAAATTAAGTTTTTCTTGCTAATGTTGCTGAAATTTATTAGCTTGATGGAAATGTAGGTTGCAAATAATTGTAAAACCAAGGTGACTACATTTCCTAAACATTAAACCAGTGGTTCCCAACCCTGGTCCTTGAGGAACACCATCCTGCATGTTAGTCGTTTCCCTGCTCCAACACACCTGGTTCAGTGATTTGATTACTTCATGTTCTGCAGAAGCCTGTAAACCACTCATTTAATAAAATCAGGTGAGTCGGAGCAGAGAAACAACTAAAACATGCAGGATGGTGTTCCTCAAGGACCAGAGTTGGGAACCCCTGTAAACTCATCCGTGCCAACGAATGGTCTATATGTAACTGTAAGAACATTTTTCTTACTTTAAAGCTCTCGTCATTTTTTTTCAAAATTTTTAAAGTTTGTTGCGTTGCATTAAAAATGTTTTAGAAGCGGGCGGCACAAATGGTGCAGATGGTAGAGCTGCTGCCTCTCAGCGAGACAGTCACCAGATCGAATCCTGGCCGGGAGGCCATTCTGGGTGGAGTTTGCATGTTCTCCTGGTGCATGCATGAGTTTTTTTTCCAGGTACTCCGGTTTCCTCCCACTGACAAACATGCACGTTAGGCTGATTGGTAACTCTAAATTGTACCTGGGTGTAAGTGAGTGGTTGTCTTGTTTGTCTCTGTGTCCCTGTGACCTGTCCAGTGTGTCCCCCACCTCTCGCACAGTAAGTGCTGGACATGGGCACCAGTGACCCCCGTGACCCGAAAAGGAAAAAGTGGGTAAGTTAAGTGGATGTTTCAGAAGCACCTTCACATGGAGAAATTCAAATTTAGTCGATACTGAAATCATGGCACACTGGTATTTTATACAAATACAAGTGCCAGAAGTTTGCAAAAGATTCAGCAAACCATGTTTTATTACTATCCTTACGACCCCTGACTACCAGCAAAACTTAAAAAATGTCACTACTACTTTCTTGTTAAGATGGACAAAAAAAATCTCTCAGAACCAGGAGCCCATTTGCAAAATGAATTGCCAAAATTCCCCCCAATGACTGAAGAACTTTGCTTCTCAGTTTCTTTTTCATATCTATTTTAGTGGTGCAGTGTAGCAAATGTTCTGTCTGCAGGATGTAACGATGGATGGATGTAGATTCAGTCATTCTGGACACAAAACTGAGAACGCTCACGAGATGCACGTTTCTAGAATAACGTAGCTCAGCTTCAAGTTTAAATCGTTATGATTACCGTATTTTCCGGCGTATTGGTCAGTCCTGCGACTTATACGCCGAAACGACTTGTAAACGTTTTTCCCCCCCACAATATTCATAAAGCAATTTTTGACTTAAAATTTTGAAGAACTGCAACATCAAGTCCTCCTGTGCACACTCACTTCACTCAGCTGGTGCAGGCGGAGGAACACGATGGATGGGTAGCGCCGCCCAGGCAAAACAAAGCTGTTTTGACCATTACGTAAACTACGGTGACGCAGAATAAATGCGACTTATACGCCGGAAAATACGGTAGTTGCAGGATCAGTGCTGAAGCTTTCTCCGAACTACTAAAACCAAAATTCACAAATCTGCAAAGACGACTTTACGACTTTGGAAGCTGTAGCTTTATTTCTGGGGTCAAAAAAAAAAAAAAAAAAAAAAAAAAAGACATAGCTGCCTTAATATTCGAAGGAAAAACATGATACAACACCCATTTCAGTCAGCGAGCAGCTTGGTCCAGCTTATAAGGGTTTAAAAAGCTGGTAGGAACCAGTTCACATTAGACATTATTGCTGAGGCTCTTCAGACCTTCAGGACATACTGTGTGCTCATCTATCAGCTAACATCAAATGCTGCGTTCACTCAGTTCAGTAATAAATTGGCAGCAATGGGTAATCACAACAGCCAGCTATTGACGCAGAAATAAAAACAGGACGTTTATATCCCAAATATCGTCACATTCTGTGCTCGTGTACAAGTTTCACTTAGAAACCCTGCAATTCAAATAAGGTCATCAATAATAGACTAATCTCATGATCTTGAACACGTTTAGCCATTCTGCTCTAGCGTTGAACCAACCTCCCGAAGGTGCTCTCATTTGATATGTAACCACAGTCGCATCAAGTAAAAAATAACATTAAACACATGCTGAATAGAAAACAATTTGCATCACTTAGTCAAAGTAAAGCTATTGGACAAAATGTAGCTTTTGTAAATAAGTGGTAGATTAAAAACACTGAACAAAAATGTTTAGTAAAAAAGTTTTTTTTTTGTTTTTGCAAAGGTTAGTCTTCCTCTTAAAGTGCTTTGTGGCTCTGAGGAGGAACCTGAGCACCAAGACACGTCACAGCAAACATAAAAAAAAAAAGCTTTCGACTGAACCGTTTCACATGAGTGGAAACTCAAAGATCTTTTGACCCTAACCAACTCCCTTTTTGAATCGGTAACATCTGGATCCAGCTGTGCGCTTTATGCACAGAGGTGGAGGAAGACGTGGTGCTAGTTGACAGCAGGGTGCAGGGGTGGGCACGGGGAGACGCCTTTCCGCTCCGAATCGAAAAAACGCTCAACCTTCTGCTCTGGGCTCGTCTCGTCGCTGTACAGGCGTCTGAAACCGTCGTAGTAGTCGTCCGAGTCTCCTTGCTCGCCACGCCCTCTTCTGGCCATTCTGTGGCGCAGCGAGGGGCTCCAGGTTTGCTGCTCCTGAATCCGAGAGCCGTCGAGGATGTAGACGGAGTTGGTCGGCAGAGCAAACTCCAGGCTGTGCAGGTACTCGTCCACGATCTCTTTACAGTGGATGAACTCGGCACTATCCACCTGGAGACGACACGAGTAAAATAAAAAGTGGGTTCAACTGGATGCAAACATGGCGTCCAGTCACGTTTCAAAACTGATGATCTGACGTGACCCAAGCTAAAACTTAACGGTTGAGGTTTGTAAACCGACACTGAATTTTACTACTTTTTTTAAAGCAGCTTTAATCATAAACTTGTTTTAAGCAGGAACGCAAATTATCAAAATGTTCCAACATGTGCCTTTATGCAGACCACAGTATGTGTGTAATAAATAAATCTGTGGAATCTCCAGGTTCCAGTAATCAGCACTAAGGTAAAATATCAGCTGGCAGTATGAACACATTTGGCTTGAATTCTATGTATTTTTTTTATATTTCCTCTGTAATATAAAAAGGGACACTCGGAGATGGTTGGTACTCGATAGTTTTAGCTTCTTACAGTGACGAGCACTGCTCATGTAGTGAGTGGAAGCCCTGCAGCTGGCCCGAGCCAGTCTCTTACATGTGCTTTCTTCAGTAGGTCGGTGACGACGGCGAACCAGTCGGGCGTGAGCGCCTCCAGCTCCAAAGTGATGATGGCCAAGGCCAACGTGGAGCCTTTGAACTGCCAGAGCTGGTGGCAGGCCATACAGTGCTGCACCTGCCTGGTCCACAGCGACACCTGGAAGCCCGCGGGCCTCTTCTGACGCCTGGGATCAGCAGGGAGCGCGCAGGGGGCCGTCGCCGAGTCGACACTGGAGCAAAAACTGATGGACGGATCGAGGTGGGGGTGGCCAGAGACGAGCAGGGCGTGGAACTGGATGGAGGGAAAGATGCCAAAATGTTAGCATAACGATGTCACTGTTTCTGTGTCCGTCTGTCACTCATCTCTGTTTACTGTTCATACCAAACAAGTTTTAACATTTAACAAAACATCAGTCGTTACATTCATGACATCATCCGTTCCTGATTGTTTTGTTGCCAAATTTAAAATCTCCACAATCATTTCTCATAACGCTCCACGATCACCATGTTTGTGTTGCGTTGTGTGCATTTGTGCTTTCATTGTGAGCAGAAAGCGTCGAACCTGAGTGGGAGCTCAACTCGGTGTAAAAACGTTTCTTTTTTTTTTGCTGACAAACGTCTACTCGGACGACTCGGCAGCCTTCGGTCTGCACGAGGAGCAGCAAGTTACGGTGAAGAAACTCCCCGTCGGTGCATTCTTGTGTTTGCTGCAGGCATCTCGTTTATTCGTGCACATTGAGTTTCGTACATGTTTTTGTTTGTCTCCTGCAGAAAATAAGCCATGTGTTTAAGAGGAAGTGCAACTGTACTGGGAGGTAGCACTGCAGAATTGGAAACGTGCGCCTTAAAAACCAGCCGGCTTGAAGAAACCAATATTTTTGAGGACGATGTGACGAGTGCTTTGTGAGGTGAACGATCAGCCTCACGCGGTGAAACGATCGAGCGCTGCGCAGCTGACTGTACCTCTCAGTTTTACTCTGATGCAGAATTACTCTGACGGATAATCTCTGTAAATTCTCTTAAGTTTGTATCGACGTGTCCCAGTGAAGTCTGTGGAAAAATCTGTTCTAGATAAAGAACTTCAAAAAGGGAATGCAAAATATCTTCAGGGCAGATCTATATACATCATATAATTGTGAAATATTTACAGTACAGTATTTAAAATATATTTATTTGAATATTATAATAGAGAAAACGTCTTTATTTTATTATAGTTTTATTCTTACACGATGCATCTTTATTTAAAAAGTCTTGAGTTTTGTAACAGCTGACGTGAACTGATATTAACTATAACTGATAATTGCACTCCTGACACTAGGGCTGGGCAATATCTCGATTTTTTAAAATGGAGATAATTTCACACGCGATATAAAACTATATAGTCTCACACTCGACGTAGAGTCATAATTATATTTGAAAATCCACCAGTTTTTCTCCCAGTCTGCACCTTCACGTGCCCCCCCTCCCCTCCTCTCCCTCACTGAACACAAACCCAGCCCCTCACCCGCTCCCCCCAGCTGTGTAAAACTGCGTGCTGCTGCAGCTCCCACTGCGAACAAGCTACATGCACATGCAGATATCAGTCGTCACAATAGCTGTTGACTCTCAGTGCAGACACTCTGGTGACATGGATGTAAATTCCTGATGTGAAAATGACTGGGTGGCTGCTACAAAGGAGAGGTTTGGTGTTCTCCAGGACATTATAACTGGTTTAGAGCAGCAAGGTATGAAGTTGTCTTCTCATCAAAGAACACTGAGACGGATATCCAGTTTAGAGTGATTTATTTGCTGTGTTTCTTCTGGTATTTACACACAGCGGTAACCAGTAAAACACAAACAAGCTTGAACGACAAGGATCCGTCCGTGTCGAGAGAGACAAAACTCCACAACGCAGGACATGCAGCACGGCACTTTACACAGAGAGGTGCGTTCAGTAACATCGGAACAGCCACGGTGCATTCAAGAGCATAGGAACCATGAAATTTAGAAATCAACAAGCCGTAACCAAACAGAGCCGAGCTCAGTAAACATGTCAACCGCACAACAACGTGGGCTTTTAACAGCTTTGTTAATAAAGGTTATTAAAGGGTGAATGAATAGACTTCATTAGAATCAGACTTTTTAAAGAGCAAGTCAGCCTTTCATTATGTTTGCTCCGTATGTTTTCTGTTTAAATTTTAAGTGCACAGCTGTGTTTGTGTTATGCAGGGAAAAAACAACTTATTTTTGAGACATTTCTTTTGTACAGTTACAGCTGTTTGTTAATAAATGTGCCTGTGTGACAATTGGGACAAAACTTAGACTCAAATATATTTTTATTACTTTATAGAAAGAAAAAAACAATATTGAGATATATATCGTATATCGCCATTCATCTTAAAAATATTGAGATATTAATTTTGGTCCATATCGCCCAGCCCTACCTGACACTTAAATCTATTCTCAGACGATAAGAAGAGCAGTACAGTTTGAATTATGGAGAGGATTTAGACTTTCAGTAACAGCTGTTGGGAGTTTATGGCTTTAAAAAAAAAAGAAAGTTTAAATCTTCAAATCTCAGTACTGGAGAGACACATTTAGTGGCATTACTATCATGGAATCTGTTGGACTAAAAGAAGAAAACTTAATTTTCCAAAGAGTGGAAATCAGATTTTACAGCTGAGGAAGCTCCTCTTTATGTGACTCGTGTGTATTTTTCCAGGAACCCGTGGGCTGTGTTCATAAAGCATCCAGCAGCTGGCTCACAACCCGTCTTATCACTGTAGATGCATTCCTTTTAGGAGGAAAACATAAAAAAAAAAACGCACTAGGTGTTTACTTTCCGTCTCTTCATGGTAGATGAAGCGCTGCCACCAGTTTGTGTTTTGTTGTTGCGTCTCCTTTGGCTCAAACCAACGATTCTAACCAAAATGCTCGACACCCAAGAGCCTTGGCAGATCATCTCCTCTTTAACCATCAAACCCTGGCTTCTGATTAAAGCATCATGAATACAGCCCCGGACCCAAGTGCATGCTGGGACCTAAATGGTGTTGTGTACGTTCGTTTGTTGGGAACCCGATCAGTGGTTAGTGTTTTAGAACACTTTTAAAAAAAAGGGTTGAGTAATTACTGTTGTACGCAGGTCCAAACGGTAAACGTTACATCGCTCGGGGTTTATGAACAACGACAAATCTATTTTAACGTTGAACTCAACAATCAAAGTAATTTAATCATCGTAAACGTTGGATCGTAAAAACACTCCACTTGGTGGCATCAGGGTTCATGTGTTCACAGGAAGGCTTCAGATGGATGGAAGTGCCTTGGTTTCATGAACGCGTGTTGTTTTGTTGGCAGCTTGTAAAGAGAGTCCTGTGCTGTTCAAATTATTTTTATAACCTTCATTTGCTGGTTTTTTCCTCGCATACAAACTATCTGAATTTCTTTGATGAATTAGCTCTGGAAACAAACGTCTCATTTATCTACCAACAAATTTAATGGTTTTAACTGTAAATGAGGAAATAACCATTTAGAATTCCAACTGGATATTTTAATTCCAAAGATATTTAGCACATGCACGACAAAGAAAAGCACCAATGTTTTGCACACGAGATGCTGAAAGCGACAATTCTTTTTCATTTTTGTTTAAAATAACATTTACCATTGATTGCCAAGCAGCAGCGTTGCTCCACAGGACGAGAAAGACAAATTCAAAACGAAGATCCTGTAAGTGTGCTTTTTGATTTCCACGTTTTATTTTTAGTTTTTTGTCTCGGCTGTGGGGATGACTGAAAAACTAAAGTGCACAAGTGAACTGAACGGAGTTTTTAATATTTATTATGGGCACACTGAATTAAATGAAATAAATGTACAATGCATTCTTGGACCAATTCTTAAAAGGTACTCATTGCAATGTGAGGAAAACTGGATCCAAAAGAATTCAGAAAACAAAATCTGCCTACATTTTCCCACCGCTCACATCGATGTTTAATGCAGCCCTAAATGGGAAAAAAAAAAAAAACTGTAAGCTGACATCTACCATGCGCTTTTGTTTACCCACAAAAGCAGCCGAACGATGGCTACAACCACAGAAAAGCCATTTGGGAATGAGAAATCGGAAATTTTTGAAGTATTTGCTCAGATTTGTGAGCTTCCTGCATATTTTGATATAAGTGCTTTGTTTAAATTGAGAGTAGACTCACATTTTAGAACATCTGGAAAACTACTGTAGTAAACTTTCAAACGACCCCATTTGATATACCGTATTTTCCGCCGTACTTGTCGCACCACTAAGTCGCATCAGTCCAAATATGTCTAAAAAAGTGGAAAAATCCATAAATACGCCGTTTCACCGTATACATCGCGTCTATTACACGTCACCGCCGACGACCCGGAAATATGGGCCGATGCTGCGCTAAAAATTCATGGGCTGCCAAATGGTGGCCGCGGGAGTGTGCACAGGAGGACTTTAACAAGAATTTAACAAGAGTAACACTTAAAAACAATTATTTGTTTGCTCGAAATGATAGTACAGGTGTGTCTCAGTCTAACGTTTGCTTAATAAATGCATTTTGACGGTCAAACCATCTGTATTCGCTGCCTCGGTGCTCCGGGAGAGCGCAGAGGGAAGAAAAAAAAATAAGGAGGAACATTGCTCGTTTCTTCAAAATTTAACAAGAAAAGCACATAAAACAATTTGTTTTGCTCAAAATTATAGTAAAGGTGTGTCTCAGTTGAACTTTTACTTAATAAATGCACTTTAATGGTCAAATTAGCTGCATTTCGCCGGGGCGGTGCAGCTGGTTTGACTTGCTCCAAGCAGCGAGCAGATCGAAGGTGGGGGGGGACTATGGCAAGATGATTGCATCATTAATAGCTGGTGAAGATTTTCAGTCATCCAGGACATGGTTAATTAAAAAAAGTTCCAAGACAAAAACAATATAGTTTAAAGTAAAGTATAATAAATAAAGTCCAGTTGTGTTTGTACTGAACTTTTTTGAATTTTTCATTATAGCCACGTTTACCTATTTACATGATACAACCTTTATTTAGACAGATAAATCACAATGAGCCTAGAAAACTCATTTACAAGTGAGATCTGTTTAGACAGACAAAAAAGTAATGAAACTTGACACATGTACGAATTGGAGGCACAAAATTACTTCTAACTGACTCTTTCTTCTTTGCTGAGAAGACAAACTAATATATATTATATATATATATATAAAAAAAAAAAACCTCGCACAAACAAGCACATAGTGACGTAGACATTCCGCAGAGGGGGGAAGACGACGATTGGTGAGCAATGTCCATGCATGCCACACTACTACTACTCTGCTGCCATCTAGTGGCTGAAAGTGGTGCTGTTCAAAATTTTTCCCAGTCAGAATGAATGAAATCTCATCTCAGCCAAAAATCGGTTTATAAATATGGGAAAAAAAATCCATAAATATGTCGCTTCAGCCTATAAGTTGCAGGGCATGTAAATTATGCACAAAAAAAAAAAGGCGACTTATAGGGCGAAAAATACGGTAGTTGGTCATAGAACAACAAAGTTTGCGCTCAATAATCCAGGTATAAAATCCAACAATGTTGGACGAAACGTCTCAGCACAAAAAATAAACTGTCCAGATGACGTGACTGAACATTGTTGGGTCATTTATAGAACTTTATTTAAGTTCGATGTCACGGTTTGCAATGAGTACCTGTAAGTGTGAGGAACAGAGGGACGATGTACGGGGTTTCTAAATGTAATCTTGATGCATGAGGTTTTATCACGTGTGCTTTTGTACTGCTCGTGTTTTTTATGCAAAGACCAGAACCTAAAGTGTTTCAAAACCGAGCCAGCTCTCTTTGAAATGCTTTAGATCCAGTGAGAAGAAAAAATTAAAATAAAAGCATCGTTCGCTTATCTGCTGAGCTGTAACTTACAATGTGAATGAAGTCGACTGGTGTTGCTGTGTACAAGTCCCAGTGCAGCTTGTCCAGAATGATCCTCTCCATGCGAAGAATCTCCGCTGTCGAAAAGTTGCATCCACTCCCAACAACCAGGTCTTTCACAGAACCTAGAACCTGTTACAGACACCAACCAACAGAGGCCAAATAAAACTATCGTTTTAAAAATTCACTAAACTGGGCGTGTTTTTTGTTCTTTTCTACTGCCATGTCTGTTAGATTTGCTTTTTGGTTCCTAAAAAGAAAAAGGTGTTACCTCATCTTCCTCATTGACTTTGGCCGCCAGGACCAGTGACGTAAAAGCAATGCATTGCAGGTATTTTTTTTGTGCCTTAAAACAAAAGAAAAACAGTTTTAGTTTCTCTAAAGTGCAAGAACCAACGACTGGAATTATAACGCTGCTATATTGGACAAATGGTGACTTTAAGACTAAAACGCATAAACCTGGAAACCAGTTTGTCCTGCTGCTGTGGTTTTACCTTGACAGTGGACAGCAGCCTGTTGAGGACACACACTCCCAGTGCATAGGTCTCTGGACAAAACTGAAACGTCCTGCTCATTTCTCCAAGCCAGAGAACCACTTGTTGGTGTTGGCCGGAAGAGATGTCAGTGCCCTGCAGATCAAATTAAAACCACGTTCATGGAAAACTATGAAACAAAGATAACCCAACATGAAAATCAGGTTTTCCAGACCTCTGATATGGTCATTTACAAAAAAAAAAAAAAGAGAAGGAAACAAAAAATGCAAATATCACTTTTCCTGTTTGTTTAAATAAAAATACTGGATCCCTCCTGCAGTGTGACGACGTACAATATTTGCTCACTGGTTTAACGCTAATTTTCCTAAACATCACAAAAGTTCATTTGATTTCAGACAATGTTGAGTTTCATCAGACAAGCATAGACATAAATGTCTAATTTATACATTTAAAACAACTCAGAAGTTGCATAGCTGTATCCTAAACCTGCATCACCGTCTCACCTGAACGTGGCCATTTTTGAAGACAGGAATTTTCCAGAGACGAGCCTCTCGAAGCAGAGCGGCCTCCAGCAGGCCGATCAGCCGAAGGCTCTGTGCAGCTTCTGGGTTCTTCATCAGTTCCACAGCACAGGCCCAGCTGTACCCAGGACACACACGCCTGATGGAAAACACAAGAAATGATGTTAACTTGCACTCAGGCATTGCAGTAAGATCTGATATTACGCTCCAAGGATACCGATGTATTGTGAGACTTCTGGGATACCAAAGTACTGACACACACTTAGTATTCTGATCAGTTTGACCTTCTTCATGTCCCAGTTTTGGGTGAAAATGTTAAATTTATACATCAAAACGTGCATCTAAATTGGGAAGTGTGAAATTCGGGGAGTGGTGGAGCAGAGGTTAGAGAAGGTGGGCCTGTGATTGGAAACTCGGAAGTTCAACTCCCAGTATCGACAACAACAAAATGTGAGTGGGAAAGGTGAAGCATCCACATCTGCCTCCTCCCTTATTTGCCCCACTCTGGGCCCTTGAGCCCCACCATCTGCTCCCCTGGATGCCCTAGATGGCAGCTCTCTGCTCCACACAGTGGTAGCTCGGTGGTTACATCAGGAAGGGCATCAGGTGTAAAAAAAAAAAAAAGTACTGTAATTTCTGGACTATTGAGCGCACCTGAACATAAGCTGTGCCCGCTAAGTATAAAAAGAAAATTAAAATTTTACATAAATAGGCCGCACTTGTTTACAAGTCACGGGTGTTCACGTTGTAACATGAGATATTTACACAGATTTTTAACATTTTTAATTAAATATGTACTGGTAACATGCACAAATACAGTAAAAAAAAAATATTTGGTGCCAAAACTTCGTGCAGCTTGGTTCACTGTGGCGACCCCTGAAAAAAGGAGCAGCCAAAAGAATAAATAAATAAAAATTATGCAACAGGGCTGGAATTTGTGAAAGCACAAATATACCCACGCACAACAATGGGATTTTGATGAATTGAATGGGAAAAGCAAGCCTCTCTTTGAGGGTAATAGTTGAGATACACTACAAAGTTGGAACGACTTTCAAAATTTAAACAAGTCGCGCAAAGTTGGACTTCACTAGGCCTGTCACGATAAACAATAAATCAATTCATCGCATGATAAATGAAAATTATTGACCTCATTTTCATTTATCAGCTTTATCGTTTCTTCAGGTCTCTCTCTCTTTTTACTGAAGACACTGGAAGACAAATGATTCAACTCCGGTGCTCTTCACTGACCCCTTCCTTTCTCTTTAAAAATCCATTTTATAAGTCCAAAATCACACTTTTGAATTGTTAAAAGAAGCTAAGCTGAGAAGCCAACCTCGGGGGGAAAAAACCTCCGTCTTGTCGAAGCTTCAAAATTCACGGTCGAAACCTGTGCCTTTGTCTCAAAAGTTTTTCTCTGCAAAAAGAAGCTGAGAACTTGTTTACTGATTTTTTATTAGAAGCTCTGTGTGACATGTTATGCTAAAGAGCTCAAACCACACCAAACTTCCGCCATTTTGAGAACCGAAAAAAGGAAGGAGTGAAAGCCCATGTCACGTCAAGGGGCCTCCCTCCCATTTTTCTTAAAGAGACACACTGCTCGCTCCCTCACTATCCATCCTTCGGTTCAAAGCTTTAATAGTGCCATCCAGTGGTAAAAAAAAAAAAAGGTACTACATGCAAAACAAATTAAACATTTCTTCTTAAATTTGACAATAATTATTAATTATTGTTAAATTTCAAACAATATTACCGTATAACGCAATAATTTCTGAGACAATCGCGCAGCAACATTTGTTATTGCGACAGCCCTAGACTTTACACGACAGATATTATTATTAAACACAATCGCGGTTTAGGTTTTGTAATTTTAGATTCATACAGCAACAGTTTGAGGCTTACTTTTTAGCCCGTCTGCCTGCCTTTTTTGAGACTGCTTTCATGGCACAAAGGTTACCATGGTGACACCAATAAGCCACTGGCAGCAGCTGTAACAATTATTTTACTCTTCTTAATGGTTTACATCAAAATGTAGGTATTTTCCTCACTTTGATTTGTACCAAGTGGAAGTCCAGGTTGTGGCAAACTGCTTCATTTTGATGAATGTTGCTGAAAGTGGACTTTGTTTTTTTTTTTTAAAGAATTGTAAAGTTTAGGATTTCCGCAAAGTAGCTTTTTTTTAATTTTCATTAAACCTTTATTTATACTAGTTAATCCCATTTAAACACCAGTGAGACGTACAGAAGTTAATCTGTCCACAGCTTGTCAGTTAGGAATGCGAAAGTACAAAAGGAGCCAAGTCTGCGGCAGGAAACGAACTGCGCCCTCGGTTTGTTATACAACAACGCCATTTTCAAACTTTACTGGCAAATTGTGCAGGACTGTGAATCCAAACAAAGCAAAACTTTAAAAACTCTGTAAAATATAAATGCGTTCAAATGTTCTGCGCGTGCAACAAACAACAGACACAAACCAGGCGGAATGATACGAGCTGCAGCCTCTAATGTTCTTCCTGCAGACAAAAGAGTCTTCCAGCATTTTTTTTTTTTTACCTCTCTCTCATTTTAGTAAACTTACCTATTTGGTTGCTAGTGCAAACACAGTTTTCCACGGAAGGTGCATTTAAACAATTCTAAAAATCAGTCCATTTTCACCGAGAGCCGACAAACAAACAAAACACAGCGGGATGCCGCTCTGAAAAACAATCTCGGAATACAAAGTAGTTCGTAGAAAATATGAAGAAAGTAGCCGCATTATTTATAAATATATATATATAAAATTTTTTAAACTAAATGTGCAAGGACAAAAACTGTAGCTAAAAACAAAATTCGAAGGTAAAGAAAGAAAAAAAAAAAAAAGCGCAAAAACCTCCAAACAGGAAGCAGGTCTGAAGACGGCTGTTCGCTGCAGCTCCGCCCATCGACGACTTGACTCCGCCCTCTATGACATCACACAAATGGAACTGTGTTAGTGGGTCAGACGTGTGAGACCTCAACAACACAATGGCAGGGATTTGTCCCCGAGTGGAAGATGTCAGCTGCCGGTGTGTCCAGCAGAATGTGTATGTGATCACAATAAATAAAGAAATAGCTGTAATAAACCTCTGCTGTGAGTCAGCAGCTGGTCTCCTCCAAACATAACCTATTTATCAGAGTCAGAGTCAGAGTTTCTTTATTGTCATTCGCACCTCATGTGGTACATGTGGTGGAGCGAAATTATGTACACAGGGTCCCAGTTACATCCAACAATAAAATGTATAAGAAAAACAGTAATAACATCTAAGATATGAACTAAGAAAAAACATCAACTAAATATACACTAAGCACTCATAACATAAAACATTGAACATCAGCACAAACATGAACATGAGTCTGTGAGCAGATGTGCACGCATGAACACATCAACATGAAACAGATAGTGGTTTGTTTCTGCCAAAACTCATCTAACCAGTGAAGGCTATGGAACTGATCTGGTTATGCCGAAGACTGAGGAAGTCCTCTGGATGAGGGACGAAATGTTTCTCACTTAAAGAAACTGGTCCAGATGAGACGATTTAACCATTTTTAAAAATTCTTATCTAACCAGTTCCACTTCAGAAATACCTAATATCGAACCGGGTGTCCAATCCTGCTCCTCGAGGGCCACTATTCTGCACGTTTTACTTGTTTCTTTACTCCAACACAACTGATTCAATAGTTGAATTACCTCTTCGTGTTCTGAAGAAGCCTGTTAATAATATCTTATTGATTCAAAGCAGGTGTTGGAGCAGAAAACCATCTAAAAGGTGCAAGATGGTGGCCCTTGAGGAAGGCTTGGACACCGCTGATCTAACTGTAGTAGCAGTCTTGCTCAGAAGACACAATATTGTCATACAGCCTTATCTTCAAAACAAAAAAGATAATGGTGTGTGAATCCAGTGATCCAAAACTGTGAAACTTGGCAGCACAACAGCTTAGTGGTTAGCATTGTTGCCTCACTGCAAGAAGGTACAGGGTTTGATTCCCGACTTGGACCTTGAGTCTTTGGAGAGTTTCACTGGACAAACAAGATCTATTGAGAAGATAGTAAACCAATATCAGTAGAGACAAAAGTTTATCTTACAAAGCACTGGGTATGCAGTGAACGTTTTCTAAATGATGACTACATAAGAGGTAAATAATACTAAATATGTGTTTTTCCTATACTAATATGCAACAACTGAGCTGTGCACTATATCAGTTTTGTACAGTGTTCTTCTGCACAATGCTACAAGAGTAAACGATGAGTGAGTGCACACTCCAGTTGTTTTATATAACTTTATGATTAACCTTCATCTGCTTTTAGTTCAGGAACCAGGGCCAAACCAGATTAAGTAGGTAAAAATTAACCCTATAAACGGAGAAAACGCTTTCACAACAACCCTGAACCTAGAGGCTTGTGACGCAAAACAGTTGTGAAAGTTGATTCAAGCTTGTCGCTAGCCTGATCATGTTTTATTATCACCAACACAAGGTGGAGGGCGGACGATAATGTTTTTACCCATGCTTGTGTGAATTTGCCCGTTGTGCTTATGTCTAGTGTTAGTCATGAACCACTGGACGGATTTTAATAAAATACAAAGATGCAGTGGATGCCAAAACCCGCTGACCTTAGTAAACACAAACATAGCTACAACTCAGCCAGTCTTATAGATAATGAGCTAAAGTTGGTTGTGGTGAAAGCTGAGACTCATCCCCAACACATACTCCATGCTTTTCCCATTGTGTGAGATCTTTGCTTAAAACCTTGACATCAACCTTGTCTGTTAGCAAAATATATTGTGGATCATTTGGTAGATTTCAATGAAACTAATGACATTTTTAGGTTGAATGAATTTAGTTATTTAATGTAGTGTACATCTACAACTTACTACTATTTGGAGATAACTAATTTCAAGATGGCCATGACAACATACTGACATATGCCAACACATAAATGGCTGTATTTCAGTCAGTTTTACAGACAATGAGCTAAAGTTTGGTACTGTGGTAGGTGAAAGTCATTCTAATAAAATACTCTGACTGCTAACACATCTAGCAAGATCTCACAAAATCACCTGAGGTTGTGCACAAGGTCATTTTGAGG